ACCCGATATCGAGCCAAAAGCAAAGTCCTGGTTTCCGATGATTGGTCGTAGGCTTTTTGCACTCTTCTTCGCGTGCCTGGCTTCCCAGCCAGCGGCCTGCGAGGTTGGTTCCCATACTCCTCGGTTCTTTTGGTGCATTCTTGGACAGTCTGTGATGACAATGTGACATAAAGATGGGAAACAGTCCGTGTATTTAAAGATCCAGTCCGATAGATGTTCCTGCCAACCGAACAACATCACCCGCAAGTGTTGAAAAGCTTCCCTCGATCGTGCCAATTCTGCCCAGGAGCGCAGAACCCTTTCGTCAAACTTGGAAATCTCGTTGTCAATGGTGACCTGGCCATCCGATAGATCAAGCACAGCCAGGTTGGTTATTGTGTGGATCGACATCAAGCTGCTGGTGGCCATCTGCTTTGGCGAAATTCGGAGACAACTGAGCCACTTTGTTTCTTTGGATGTGATTTCGTTGAAATACGCCGTAATCGGGATTAGCGGTTGCTTGATATTCAAAAGATACCGGTATTCACGCGCTCCAAACTCTTCTGGACCGGGATATGCTGCCGCCAGTGTCCTCCAAGCGTGAAAACTCTCTGCCCGCCTGTCTCTAGATGTCAGCAATCGTCCATATGGGTTTTACCGATGATTACTACATTGACAGCAGTTGATCCCAGACCCTCTGTGCCAATGACCACGGCACAGTTGCAAAGTGCTCCGAAGTCAGATTCCTGAACTGAGTAGCGACTTTGATCCTCGCCATGCCCGCCAAAGAGCGAGCACCATTCTGATTCGGAGGTGGCTTTTTGACCATACCAGGTGTCTTGGGCTCACCAATCCAGTCTGAGTAATTGTGTCGGTTCGGGCGCATTTCTAGTTCAGAATATACCTGTCCAGATTCCGAGTCGTACTTTTGCAGGATCGCCTGGCCAGGCCGCCATGGTGCAGAGTGATATGGCCCGGACAGAAGAGGCCTTCGATTTGATGATTCGGATGTGAATTTCATGTCTGCGGTTCGAGGTCCCCTCCGTTTTCTTATTCAGAGCTGCAGCGAGGGTACGATGGCAGGCGAAATAGTTACGAGGTCGCCGTAAACTCAGGAAGCCAAGACAGGCCGTAGTAGCTTGGTCATCGCAATAAGAGACTCTTTAGCCATTGTTGTTGTTCGGCCCCGCATATCCAATCGCAAAGCCTGGAGACGTAAACGTTTCGTGGAGGTGAAACTCGACACAGATCAGCCACGTCGAAATTTATTCCTCGGACGCGATGAAACGCCGAGACGCCACACAGATGCACGTGAGTTCGCGTTGAGGCTGTGAGAATGACATCATCTACTGGGTAGGATGTGCCCACACGCGCCCTTGGTATTCTAACTAGGTATTGGTATTAATGCTGAGGCTTTAAATTACTCCACCTTCTATTTATAAATAGCTGCAGTACCTGTCCGGCAAACTGCATTGAAAAGTAAGTGGCACAGTCTGACGAGAGTAGAGTAATTTGTTGTTAGATCGAAGGTGCCCTTCATTCACATCAAGCACGTGGGATATCTTTAGCAATAGTGGCCCTCTGTCATTCATCCTATACATTCGATAATATGGCGACCGCTCTGACGTTATTGAGCCCTCTTGACTTACATACTCTGAGACAGACTGTGCCACTTATTTTTGAATCCGGCTTGCTGGCAAGACCTCACTAGTTTTGCCCTTGCCCTCCAACTGCCAGATGACTTTACCTGGCGAAGCTCAGGGACATGATCAACCCTCGTGCAGTCACGTAAAGATCAGGAGAAGAGAGCAACATCGCGGCGGCTACAAGGCGACTTTCTTGAACACGTGTGTTGTGTTGTGAGGAAAAGATATGAAGACAAGTCAACAACTCCTGGAACCGCTTGGAAGCTGTCTCGGATTCCGTCGGAGTCAGGAGGCGGGCCGAGGAACGCAGTCTCAGACAGCGAGCAGATCGCACAACGATTCTATCTTCCGGATGGTCATTACGACGGAAGAACACGAGAAGCCTTCGAGCCACCTGCACCATCCGCGGGGCCATTTGGTTGCCGGTACGGCCTCCGCACTTGGGTTCAGCTTCACCGGGGGATTTGCGAGCCCTATTCCATCACAGGTCAAGCTAAAGAGGGCGGAAACCAATCACAATACAGTGAGTGTCGATGTAAACGCCCGTTCCTGCTTCCAGGCAGTTCTTGAAGCTGGAATGGATTCCCTACCCCGCAAGCGGGCTTCATCGGAGAAATACCGACGGACAACCTAAAAAACCGGCTTTTGCAAAAAGATATAGACATCTTCCCTCTTTGGTTCGTTGGAGACATCAGCCATGTCCGTCATTGGCTTCCAAGTTGACGATGCCTTCAACCCAACTTTGTGACACAGCAAGCGGTGAGCACAACATGTCATCTCGTGCGGGGTTGAACAAAATCCCAAAGTTAGATGAGCAACGAGAGAGCTCAAATACCGCTGATGAGGTGCTCAGTCGCCCTGGGACAATTGGCAGAAGCAAGGTAGAAATCATCCGAAATGCTCCTGCAAGTCCTCTTCGGCGGCCTCGCTGCCCTCATCGCCTCAACCTCTGCTCAGTCAAATTCCAGTCAGATACTGGTGGTCGACCAAAAGAGCTTCAATGTTCTGAAGCCTGTCCCTCCTCCTTCACAATCCAACCTTACGACGGTGAGAGACGGCAGCTCCCTGGAATAACTGTTCCCATCTCCGTCATCCTGCTGATCCTGATTTGCAGATTTTTGTCCCTCCCGGCGTCACGTTGCAACAAGCCCTGGCGAAGCCCTTCCACGTCTATGATGAATCTTTTCTAGATATTATTGGGCCAAACCCTACCTTGACCCTAATTGCCAGTACTAGCAGTAATCCTCTCTTCCATGAGGCTGTCGTCTGGTAGGTCAAATTCTTCACATGACGCCTTGTTCAACATGTCTGTGTCAGGACTAAATTTGCGTCTCAGGTACCCTCCCACCGATGAGATCTTGTGAGTTCAGCCCTTCTCCAGGAAACTGCTTCGCTTTCGGCAGCATGGTTTTATAAGCCCCATCATGGTCGGTACAGAATAACAGAGATCCACAGCTTCGTACAAAATGCCGGAGCGGTGGCTGCTGGAACTGGTCTGCACAAGTCCAACATCATACAAAAGATCTCCTTGAGTCAAGCTGCCTCCGTGTCGTCCTTACGGAATGCGAGCGGGCAGGTGGATGTTGTAACTGTGAATGCTACTCCTCCCGTGATTAACTCCAACGGTTAGTCTCAACGCTAAGTGTTTCGTGTTCTCGAACTGATAAATGTCGGTTAGGAGCGACTCAATATCGAGGCCAACTGCTCTTTACCGGTGAAGGGCAGGGTAATAACACTGCTCCCGCGCTATACGTCGTGAACCCGCGTCCTCCTTATAACGCTTCTGGTAGGTGCAGGTTTCAAACGTTCCCTGAATGACCCCGTCCCCCCACCCACAGAAGTACTGTTTCGATGCCGCTGACGTCTACTACAGTTCTCCTGAACAACTATTTCGGCCGTCAGTGGAATTCGCTCAACGATGTGGCGGTCAATCCTCTGAACGGTGATGTGTACTTCACAGACACTCTATACGGCTATCTGCAAGACTTCCGCCCTTCGCCAGAATTGCCAAATCAAGTCTACCGGTTCACCCCTTCCACGGGCGCAGTCTCGGTGGTAGCTGATGGATTTGATTTGCCAAACGGTAGGTTGGAACTACATTAACCGCTCCTTACGTACGACAGCCAGAATTGTCAACTAATCAGATACAATCAGGCATCACATTCTCTCCCAATGGGTCATACGCATATGTGACCGATACAGGTGCCCAGTATTCGTTCTTTGGGTATAATATGACAGCGCCTGCCTCAATGTAAGTTGGGGTCGCAGCTCTCGATTTCCGGGGAGACACTGCAATCGTCCCTTTCCTCATTGTCAAACTTGCTCCCATCCCATCTAATATTTTCAAATAGCTATCAATTTACCGTCCTCCCCGATGGGACTTTCGCAAACCGCAAACTGTTTACTTACTCCAGCGTTGGCATACCAGATGGAATACACTGCGACACCAACGGTAATGTTTACTCGGGCGTTGGTGACGGCGTGCACGTGTGGAACCCTTCAGGAAAACTGCTCGGGAAGATCTTCCTGGGCACGACATCCGCGAACTTCAATTTTGCGGGCAAAGGTCGTATGGTCATTTGTGCGGAAACCGAACTTTATTATGCCACGTTGGCGGCGGAAGGAGCAGTAGTGTCGAGTCAGCTGCCGCCGATATGATGGGTTGAAGTTTCACAGCACCAAAAGAGAGAGAGAGAGAGATGAGCCGGGAGCCCACGATTGACCGATACGGAAAGGGTTTGGGGCTCAACGAGGGTCGATAAATACACTCCGGTATTGAAGTAAGGGCTTTGCTTGACGCAGGGAAAAGTGATACACACCGAAGAGGCGGCGGGTGCTTCGAATGGAGTGAATTGTACAATTAACCCAGAAGAGAAGGAGCAACCGCTACCCAAAAAAGGGCGACTATTGAAAATGAAGCCTCGCCGACTCTATCTTACCAACATCTCACTTCACGATCGAGGAAGACGCTATGTTAGACCGTGGCCACGTTTTCTTTGACTTTGTTTGTCCCGACGTCGTTCTAAGCATGTATAACATCTGCTGGTACTTCCGACGCACCTTAGGCCATAGCCTCCCCCCCTTTTTAGCTACAGCCTCGCACATGCGCCCTCTCCGATAGCTTGTTAAGCGAATAGCTAAAGCCAACGTAGACGGGACGAGTCCAAGGGATTGACAGGGTATCCCTGCCATTCGGACTGGATCAGCCATTTATGTTTCGATTGCGTCGCAGGCCAGTCGTCCGGATACGCCCTCTTCCCTTCCAACTCCCTGTACTCCCTGTCCATCCTTCCCCCTCACGGCCGGTGGCATAAGATCACCGTTGACGATCCCGTTCAAATGGTCGACCTCGTGCTGTAGCACGTGTCCGAGTAGTCATGAGGCGTGGATCTTTAGAGCCTTGCTGTGCTGATCCAGTCCGTTGATCGTGATGGAGCGGTGGCGGAGGACTGAGGCCGAGCCGCCAGAGTACGAGAGACAGCCTTCAGTCATGATCTGGGTCTGCTGCGTGAGTGGTTGGCCGCTAGAGTCGGCTTGAAGCATCATACCCGCTGAAGCTGCATCCTGGCGACCGCCATCGCTGGCCCGCCTCGGAGAGGAAGATTTGATGACAAGATTACACACAACCCCCCAACTTCTTGCCCCCTTCGAGTCCGTTACATACACGAACATCTTCAGGTCCGCGCCGACCTGGTTCGCCGCCAACCCGGCTCCGTCGGCGGCGTACATGGTTGCGAACATATCTGCAACGAGGGCGTCAAGGTCTTTGGTATTGAAGCACGTCACTGAGCGTAACCTGCGGTGCAGGATGGGTGTACTCCAGCGCACGATGAGTAGGATCTTGCTACCTGCCTTGGCATTGGAATGTGACATGTTCCGCTGGTCCCTCGCCTCAGTCGACTCTGAGAAATTAGTTGACAAGAGAAACCAAGGTATCAGGCTGCCGTGGTGCCAGACATTTTCTCTTCTCTGTAAAGAAATCGCCAACCGGGGCTAACCGGGTTCAAATAAGGGGGAACCCGTGTGCTCTTACATACTCTAGAATTTAGTGCATTTGCTTAGGAGGTACATAGCCCGAAGGTTTGGGTTTATAGGGAGGGCGGAAACCCCAAGACAAGAGAGAATAAGCGATCTTGCTTTCTTTGTATTTCAGTTACAACTGGGGAACTGGAAACTTGCCGCTTTCGTGCGATGCTGACCCAGGTAGACACAAGCTATAATCGATGTGAAAAGTCTAAGGTTCAGATTCTCCGTTCTACCCGTGGCAGCGCTCACTTATCCATGTGCTGTTAGCACTAGTTTTCCGGGGACAATCGCGGGTTGATTTGGAATCGCTTTTTGACTTCTCGGCCGTTTGTCCGAAGTCCTTTGGACTTCATTCCAAGGACCTATTAAATTAGCGATAACGAGGCGAAGGCATCCTTCAGGTCGTGCAGTCATCAGCAGTTAGCTATCGTGACGCAAGAAGAAAGAGCAATGGGCAAGATCGTAGTGGCATTCGATCTCTATGGCACGCTCCTGTCGACAGAGAGCATTGCTAAAGAATTGGCTTCACACTTTGGACAGGAAAAAGCCGCCTCCATAGCGGCTGTATGGAGGAAATATCAACTGGAATACACGTGGAGGTTGAACAGCATGAGTAGGTTTAGAGGAATGTGGAACCGAGATTCTCGATGCTGATCTCGTCAAGAACAATATCAGGATTTTTCCGACGTGACCCGAAAATCTCTCCTGCATGCCCTAGCAGAGCACGGAGTGAGTCTCAGCGATGCTCAGGTCGACAAGCTCATGGACGCATACGACTTCCTATCGACCTTCCCAGATGTCAACCCCGCATTGAAGCGGTTGGAGAATAACACAAACGTCGAATGTGTCGTCTTCTCGAATGGAACCAAAACCATGGTCTCCAATTCCGTCAACAAATCTAACGATCTCAACTCTTCGGTATTCAAGGACCTTGTAACAGTGGATGTTGTCGGAGTATTCAAGCCCGCACCGGAGGTGTACAAGTTCCTGGCGCAAAAAGTCAACAAGGTGGACCACGAAGACAAGATGTGGCTCGTGTCAGGAAACCCCTTTGACGTTGTGGGTGCTCGCTCTATTGGTATGCAAGCCGCGTGGGTTGATCGGTCAGGAAATGGATGGCAGGACCAACTTGGCCTTGGCCCTACGGTGGTGGTAAGAAGTCTCGAAGAGGTGGCAGACGTTGTCGAGCAGCATGCTGCGGGCTCCAAATAGTCGGAGTGCTCCACAGGGACTGCGATTATGCTAAAAGATCTTGATATGACTCGTCCGACCTAGATGTGGCGGCTGCGGCTTCCCTAGAGCGATGTGCCTTTTCCATTTTCGCTGCCCATAACCCACTCCCAGCCGCAGAAGTAAGCAAAAAGAACATGCTGAGCACAGGGACAAGCTGCAATACCAGTGTCACCACACCGAACCATGTATATCTGAGCTGCCGGTTCTTGACGTATTCTTGTCTTTCTTTCTTCGAAAACCCTCGTAGCTTGAAATACCTCCAGTGATGAAGGGGTCCGGCTCGATACCCGGTCAGGATGAGGAAAATTGGGACGCCAACGATAGGAATGAGATTGACCGGGAGAAGAATGACGAATTCGGCGATTTGGCGGAAACTGAACGGCGCATAAATAGCAGATGATGTAGGTCTTCGAAGCATCTGGACCGAGTTTGGAGCAGTGGGGTCGAGCGTACGACCTTCGCTGACTAGGTCCGCCAGCCCTTGGTCAATTAGAACTGCATCAAAAGTATCCACTAGAGTCTCGTCGACAAAGAAAGCTTCGAAAAGAAGAGCAACGATGGCGGCGCCTTCACCTAGCACAAGAAATGTTGCATTCACCCACGCGCCTGGGCCGTGAAAGATGGCAAGGAACGCAGCTTGCGGGAGGTATGTCCAGAGGAATAGGTTGACGTAGATGAAGGCAGAGAGGAGCACGATGGGGATCAGGCGCGCCTTGAATAGAGGGTAGAAATAGGGATGCCCGAGGAAATAGAAAATGCCCTGGCATGGAAAGGAAAAGTCAGACGTTGCGACCTCGTTGCGCGAGATACTCACCTTTAGAGGATAGAGCCAGACAGCATCCCAAAGGGAGCACACCATTCTTGACCGTCCTTCTGATGTCATTTTCGCTATAGAAGGCGGTTCATCGAAGGCGCGGATGCAAGGTGACACGCAGCGAAGTGAATTCCCAAACTGCCTCTTGCTCAGTACCAGAGGTTGTCATGCCATGCAGCCAATTGGAATCCCACACTTTCAGCCTCGTGGCCAAAGCCCAGCCTTGTCCTCGCATCAGGCTAGTCGGCCTTATTTCTTACGCAATTCTGCCTCGAATTTTCTTTTCCCTCCGCCAAAACTGAAGTTTCCTCTGTATTCACTCTGTCAACGATGATGACTGTGGTTGCTGGAGGGGAAATCAGAGGACAGAGGAATGAATCGTTTTGACGGCCGCCATCTTACCCCGGGACCTTCTGTTGCTGACACAGCTTCGAGATTGTGAAGGTTTTGGAAATATTCATGGCTGCACATTGTCCTTATTAATATATCTCAGAGTGGCTTGAAATGATGGTGGCGGCTGTATTGTGCACCTCAGCACGCCCTCTCTCTGTGAGGGCATGATTGAGAGTCGCTCTGGGCTGTAGGGAGCATACAATAGGTCCTTGACACATACCCAGTACACGCAGCCACCAAGAAATCTCTGATTTGGGTGTTTTGGTCAGTCAATGCCTACCACTGCCTACAGGGGCACCAGGGCTAGTGAGGCTCTTCCTAACTAAGTAGGCCCCTTAACCCCTACGCCTACTAGGCAATGGGCTACTTATCCTCACCCACCAGCTCGAGCTATCTACTTGATCCCCGGACTCCATAGTTGGGGTCCCCAACAACAGCATTGCCCTTGCCCTGTACTCGGTACCTGGTATAGTGGTATTGCCACTATTTACTCGTACTCTGTAGCTATGCTCTGTACAAGCATTTTCTCTCATCTCCCAACATTACTTCCTGTGCACTTCGCCAACCGTCGCTCGTGTTTCTCGGCAATATCCCATTTCAGACAGTGATCACCAGTGCCATCCCCCGAACCTTGAACCTTATGCTCTTTTCCCTTCCCCGCAGTCTGTGACGGGCCGTCTCGAATCAAGTGAAATCACACCGAGGACAGACGCAGCGAGTGGTAGAGGTAGCAGGAGGCGACGAGGGCCTGGTGTCGCCGTTGATCGTTGGTAGGTGGCCAGTTCATCCTCGGTTCCTTTTCTCCACAACCCTCGACTGCGCTTGTCTCGCTCCCTCCACCAGCCATCTGCCATCTGCAATCCCGCGGCCACCTGCTCCTGCTTCCGACCTCGCCGACCATCTCAAACTCCATATTACTATGTGCCGACATTCACCCGTGGATTCAGGATTGCTGCATACCCAGACAGGAAGATAGGACGGATTATTCCCAATGGCCTCCCTCTCCCAGCAGGGCTCTTACTCGTCCTCTCAGCCGCAGGACGCAAGCAACGCCTACAAATACGAAGATCCCACCGCATACCAAATTCCTTCCGGTTACCCAACAAACCAATTCGAGGTCCCTCTGCCCGTAGCGCGTGCGGAACCAGAATCGCAAGCTAGAGAACCACCAAAGCCACAATCCTCAGCTTCATCAGAGCCCAAAGTTCGCCTCAGGAAAGCCTGCGATAGTTGCAGTGTGAGAAAGGTCAAGGTATGTGCGCGCCAAACTCCCTTCTCCCTCCACCCCTTGGCAGTTCAAGCGCTGATGAATCCCAACAGTGCGACGAGACCGGTCCTCCTTGCAAATCGTGCGCCGCCCTTGACATTCCCTGCACCTTTGATCGTCCTAGTCGTCGGCGCGGTCCCCCCAACCGACATGCCGAAGCCATCAAGAGACAGAAGCTCGAGGGCGGGAACTTCGACGGCTCGCGAAGCTCTCCAACCCATGATGCCGCCTACAGCCTTGCTGCTCTTGCGGCACCGACTCCATTGTCCGCCGAGTCAATATGCGACCTACCTGCCTTGAAAATCCTCCTAGACGATTATTTTACGTATATTCACCCATTAATACCTCTTCCGCACGAACCCACATTTCGAAGATCGTTTGAAGCTAGAGAGGACAGGACAAATCACAACTTCCTCGCGCTCATCGCGGCCATGGTAGAATGCCTCGTGGCCAGTTTTCCAAGACGACCCAGACAACTCTTTACCACGGAACCGGGAAAGTCGCAATTTCCCAATGCGGGAGCTCTGATTGATCGATGCCATCAAGTCTTCGTCGAGGCTCGCGGTCTTGGTTATATGGATCGCCCAATGAACTTGTACGATGGCATTGCGAGCTATCTGACTGGCCTAGCCGCCGGTTATGTCCTAGACATTCCACGCATGCGACTCTATCTCGGCGAGTGTACCATCATCATGCGGGAATTGCAATTCCATCGGCCGGAGATCCATCGTCCTGGTGCACCTCCAGCAGCACCGTATGGCCCTGCAGATGTGCCTCGACCCCCGATTGTCGACTACATCTACCAGGAATCGGGTCGCCGGCTTTTCTGGCTGCTTTTCGTGGGTGCCATGTCGGCCCGACAGCTTGACGAAGCCGAGGGTGACTTGTTGATGCCTCCCGTATCCCATGCAGAAATGCTCCCACCGCTGCCCGTCGAGGTAGATGATGAGTACATCACTGAAACACAGATATTCCCTCAACCCCGAGGGGTTGTTTCGGAAATGGTCGGGTTTAACCTCAACGTCAAAGTTTTCAGGGCCTTTCACTTCTTGGCTGCTCTGGAAATGGCGTTTGGTGCAAATAACGTCTATGACTGGGATCGTCAACGGCAAATCATTCGCCGCGCTCTTCAGAATGTCAAGGATGCGACGCGAGATGCTCCTAAAGAATTGCAGCTAAATCCAGCCAATGGATTCGGGGAGTGGCCACCTACGCAAGCTGACATATCGGCGTATTCCCACCTCTTCAATGATCGCGAAGGAAGCGAGGGCGACCTACACGCGACGCCTGGTAGTGTCCGCGGGTCATTTTCGGTGCCATCCAAGAGAGCGATTCAATTTGAGATCCAAAAAGCCAATATCTATGCCACGCAACTGTCGTCCAGGTCTTATCTGGTTGAGAGATTCTGGAATCTGTATGAAATAGTCGACCGCGACAAATTGACCTTTCCCTCGGATAAGTCGGTGACAAGCTCGTCCCCAACGGCAGGGATTGTGACGACGGGTATGGAACACGGCTATCGCCAAATTGTAGGTCGTACGCCCAGCGACAGCATGATGGATACTGGAGAACAAATGATGGCTGTTGAACGAGAAGACATTGTGAGAGACATGGCCCTCCTTCTCAAGAGCATTAACCAGGTCAACATGGAGCCTAATGGAATGAGTTTCGTAAGCCGGTGTCCCCCCTCCGAAAAGACTCCTCACTGACCGTAACTAGTGCAACAAGATCCGAACCGTCGCGTCGACTTTGCTGGAAACCAAACGCGCAAGAATGAGCGTCATGCCTACGCTTGACTCCGAAAGCGTAAATGCATATCTTCATGTGTTCCTCGATATCCTCTCTAAGTTGGAACGGTTGGGGCCCGGTCGATTCCGAGGTGTTGCTGATGGCAACACAGGCGGCCTGTTACGGACAGCCGAGGAGATTGAGGATGAAGAGCTGATCCACTGGGCCAGTCTGAAGGAACATCAAGAGAGGTTTGTCCGGACAAGCGGTTTCTGGTGAAGGTTGTCCGAGGATCGACTTTGGCCCCTAGAGTAATGACTGATGACACTCAAGGGGCCGGCTCGTCGATATAGCAGGGAACAATGGTAACGGGAGAAACTCAATCCCTGCTGTTTGCATGGACGGGCGAAAGTGCGCTTCAAACAAAGCTTGATACCCGCAAGTGCCTTGATGGATGGACGGCGGTGGTTTGGGATGGTGTCTACCAGTGATCCTGACAAACAGCTTTTGTCTGACGACTCAAACATTCCAGCCTCCTAAGTCGGCGGAAGGCCATCTCATGTACATCTTGACGACGAAGCTAGGCATAATTGGCACGTGAATATGACAAAACACCTCTTATTATCTTCTTCATTTGTCTTGGCTGCAAGGCTGCCAGCCTACGACTTGAGGGTTCGGTGAACTTTCCGTAGGCTGATCAGGTTGCGAGCTTGCTTCAACCCACATTCTGCTTCCTGTCTCCAGAATCCCATCGACTTCTCGCCAGAACTCAATCCAGTGACAGACAATGACAACTCACAACTTCGATGTCTTCAGTGACTGCTTGTGCTCAAATGTGGTGGAGAAACTCACTGACGGAACAAAGAAAACTCTGAAACGGTCTTCTCTGGGCAAGAAAACCAGACAGAACGAGTCTGATCCTGAGCAATCTGGGCCCGATCCTTCTGAGCTGGCCGACTTTTCTGACTACCTAGCCACCGACATCTTTTCCAGCTTGCCAGAGAAATTCCAGGCACTTTCCCATCAGGCACTTCGGGATGACATCGAGAACTCTGACAAATGGTCCCTTCCTCTAACGCTGACTGTTCTCGAAGAGCTTTCTGCTCATCTGCCAGAAGACATACACGACAGCTTGACCGCATACGGACTAATCGAACCACCCAAATCTGATATGCAATCTTTTATGGCACCGGTGTTCTCTGGCTACATCTCTGCGGTGACAACACCGCCGCCGAAATGGGCAGAGACCAGGACCAAGGCTTGCGAGATCTGCGAAAGAGACTGGGTTCCAGTCACCTACCATCATCTAATACCAAAGCAAGTCCATGCCAAGGTGCTCAAAAGAAATTGGCACGAAGAACACCGCCTAAACAGCGTTGCATGGCTATGTCGGGCTTGTCACAGCTTTGTTCATCGGATGGCCTCGAATGAAGAGCTCGCCCGAAAATGGTACACAGTTGACTTGATATGTCAGAGGGGGGACATCCAGAAGTGGTCTCAATGGGTCGGACGCATTCGCTGGAAGAAGACTTGAATTATGTCAACCTGTCGCTCAGAACGAGAGACTGGTGGGCCCGGAAGGCATACCAAGTCATCAGCTCATAGGTATACACTGGTCTCTCATAATTCGTCGCTGAAGAGACCGCTGAATACATTCGAGGTCGCGGCATTACTGCAATAATCCGCGAGAGGCACTTCACCTCGCTGCTGTCAGATATAGAATGCTCCTCAGTACGTGTTTGCCGCAATGGCCCAACGCTCCGCCTTTGGTTTGCCGAGAAGCAAACCCCTTTATAAAACCAGCGGCACAGATCTGAACATCTACGTGAAAGCTATTTATCTATACTCAGACCCTCCAGGATCAAGATTACTGAGTTAACTCCTTGCTGACCTGGTGGTTCCTTTGTACCACACTCTGCGATTCTATTGTTCACGTCTTGAGACAGGTCTCGTGGAAGTGCCGCCGCCGTCTCTTCTCCAAGAAAACCTGTCAGAGCACAGGTCGATGTAGATCTGCACATTTTGCTACATCTGCTGACGCTGCTCCTTATTCCCAGACACGAGCATCTCTTTGTCTTCGTGCGGTGTGTCGGTCACAACAAGGGGGTCCTCCTCCTTCGCCTGGGCCCCGTTTTCCTCAACTCGAGGTACATCCGGACTCACAAACACAAGTCTGAACTGCGTGGGAAATCACATGCTTGTTGGCATTCGCTGTTGTCCCTGAGTTCACTAATGTCAATATGGAACACAATCAGAGTAACAGCTACTACTACTACCAAGAACATCAATCTGCCGCACCCTGCGGATATGAGATTTATATCCTTGTTCCTCGTGCCATGTATTTGTGGCGCGGAGAGCCTCCTTGTCCTCCAAAACTCTACGATTCTCTCGCAAATTCTCCCCTTTCCCACCAGCCGTTCGCAGATCATCCGCAAGATTTAGGAGTCGCAGAATTCTGGGAGTCTCAAACTGCCACCCAAGAGCTGTTCCCAATTTTCGAGTCGAGGATTGGATATATCACCCCAGTCCACGAATATCTTCCGAACATGGCCTCGTACAATGCTCAATTGATTCGAGTGCGCGAAGAGGTCGTTAGTGAAGCTCTCGAATCATTGAGACTGAATCCCAATACGAGCGTCAGTGATTGCTACCGATTCGCTGTTCGCAGCTTCCTCGGTCGTTCTGTTGAAGACAACATCCTCGACCTCGTCACAAGAGTCGACCTTGAAGTCGAATTTGCACTCAGAATCATCCGAGCCACTAAGCGGCCGCAAGAACTCACCACTGCGCAAATGGACAATTTGCAGGCACTTGGAAAATCATTCACAGAAATGGCCACCTCCTACCGCTACGTTTGGCTTAAAGAGGCAATCAGGCTCTACCTTGAGCTCGATGCCCGGGCCGTTGTTGAAGATGCTGACCAGTTCCTGCGATACATTGGAGGAACAAACTCGAAAGCCGAGCGAGTAACAGGCATACTGAAAGAGAATGGAGCTGAGGGTGCCAGCATCAACCCACTGCATTACGGCAATAGCAGTAGCGGAGGTAATAGACTGGAGGAAGCAGGTACAAGAGATATCAGCATGCTGGACGTCGTTGACTCAGCTCTATCCGCTCCCGAGGGCGGTGCCGCGCCCACCCGTGACAACAATACCGCTGCCAGTGGAGACGACTCGGCCCTCTATGTTCACAAGGACGTTGATGACATCACTACTTGGTCAAAAGTTATCAACGGCCACTCTGTTCTGTTCGCTCAATATCAGCACGGCAAGCAACGACCCTGGAAATGCCTCCTTTGTGACAAATGCTTGGTCAATGAGAAGGGAAGCCTCACAAGCCATCTTCGCCATCGGCATGGCCTGACCGGTCTCAGAAATATGCGTATAAGGAATGAAAATCTTTCGAATTTCCAAGGTCACGATGACAACGACTGCTACATGTGGGGCGAATTTGTCGAGAATGATCCATTGCCGTGGAAGTGCCTGCTTTGCGTGAACCATCAGGGGGTGAAGGTCGGCAAGAGGACATTTCCACGACATTTTCAGAAAACGCACGGCATCAAAGTAATCCTGCCTTCTGTCACGCCCGCTAATATCGAACGCGACAGGCAAAGGAAGAAGCCGGCTAATGTCTTGACTAGAAGGTGACATGATGCAACGTTGACGCATATCCGTCTGTGGGCGGCTCTGTTGATGAGTCTAGCCTCGAAGACGAAGCCGATGCTGACGCCGACAAGGTTCTGGACGACTCCCGGCACGAAGATGAGGATGCCAATGTCCAGGTCCGTCAGATAACGCAGTCGTTGTTAGATTTATTGCGGGCAACGGACGCTTAATATCAGGCAATGAAACATTTGTTGAAATGGCACTGAAAGGGAGGACGGTTGAATGTGAGGTGATACCAGTGCCAATAACAACCGTTGACCGGGTGGTAGGAGAGAAATGCCCGCAGTTTTGTGGAACCCCATAGTTAGCAAGACGGTAGCTAAAGAAGAACGTGGACACAAGTCCTGATATAGACGTCAGCGTCTATGGACAATAAGAATTATCGATATAAGGCGACAGATGAGCATGAGCACTTCCGGGAAATACACGGATTAAACAACATCGACATTGAGATTCAAGGAGAAACTGGACAGATAGTGCGGGAATAATATCGTGCTTGGTCCCATCTTGCAATTTCATCAAGATTCAAGGGCGAACAAGTTCGTCCAAAGGTGAGGTTCTCGAAGCATCTAGATCGCCGATAACGTGGAACACGCCGCTTGCACCCTCAAAACCCGTAATTTGCCCGGTCAATGCCTTCTTGTCGCCATAGTATTTGAACCTGTACATCCCCGTCTCAGTGCCCGGTTCAATCTCCCATTCCAAAGTCACCTCACTCGTCCCCATCGTCGTGGATGTGCGTTTCCACCGATACACCAGAAACCAGTCCCTGTCCGAGCGGACTTGAACCCACTTTTTGAGACCCTCGTCGAATTTCTCCACGGCAGCGAATGTACCTTCGAGACGGAAATTATTGCGCGGGTTTGCGGCCGCGAATATCGCGCTGACGACATCACCGGAACGGAATGATATCGCTGGGTCGGGCGAAGAGAGCGTATCCCCGAACTTGCGCAATATGCCAGCGTGGTCGACGACCACGGGCCGAATGAATGACAACGAGCGATTCACATTTATGGGCGGGTTAGGACCGGCAGGAAGGTGGTCTAGGCCGGAGGTTTCATCATCAGAGCCCAGATACGGGAGGTATGTGATTGTAAGGTTGATATACGCTTCCAACGTGTGGGGGCCGTAGAGTGTGGATGCTCCTTCGTAGCGTTGCACAGAGTATTCTTCTTCGGTGGCGATGTAGTGGGCGTAGGTGTTTGCGGGCCCGCCGAGGACGAGTCTCGGCGAAGAGACATTCAGGACCGAGGCAGCCGCAGATGTGAGGGCCTCTTTCCAGCGGCGGCCGGACATGGTGGTTGCTTCCCCCGGGGAAATTATCATGATCAACTCTCCAATCCGGAGGAGTTGAATGTCAACGATGTTCGGCGTCCAAGCATAGGGATCATCGGCTTCACCGACGTCAAGGAGGATGGGTTTTGGATGTTGGCATGCTATCTGCGCGTCTGTCGGTGGATGGATCGCGCCTCTTGCTAGCCTCCAAAGCGGATTTTTCAACGCGGGAGAGTCGTTGGTGTCGTTTGTGCCCTGGGCGAAGTCGAAGCGACCGGGCCCATCGGTGGTGCCGCCTGCGAAGCCGTATCCTAATGCAGCAGAGCAGGTCTTGAGCGTCCGAGACTGGTTGAGGAATGAGGTGAAGGTGAACGAGGAGAGGTTGGCATAGGTATGGAAAAAGGATACGGTTGATGCCGGTATCCGTTCTAGGTTGTGGTCATCTAGGAGGGTTTTGGCTGCAGCCATTTGTCGTTTTCCGATCTCAAAGCAGGACTTGGTCCCCTGATCGTCTAACTGTGACATCGGTCCACGTCCGTGGCAGGGTTGGGTTCGACCTCCGCATGTGCTATCCTTGAATGCACACGGGAGACCTGTATCTTCGCAGAATGCACCTAGGGTATTGGGAGAAGTATCTCCGACATTTGCTTGAGAGAAGCCTGCGACGAAGGATGGGTTCCTGTCTTTCATGTACTCTTCCAACAGGTACGCTGCAACGCCCTTGTTGTCGCCGGCGATAAGGGTGTTGTTCTGATAGAGAGATGTCCCATGGACTGGAAACCAAGACAGTGCTCCTAGGGATTGACCATCAGACGCCCTCTCGAACTTCAGCAGTGTCATGTTTTTGTCGACGTCATCGGCGTACTTGTCTCGTTCCTTCTTCGGATTCTGGAGGTAAGCGTACGGACTTCTGTTTATGTTCGCACCTTCAACGGGGTGTTGCCCAAATCTGAGATAGCCCTGTGTAAGGTTTTCATGCGCCCGTTGGATGGCTAACACAGAGCCATTGACGATGGCCTCGTAGCTCTCCTTGTGGAAACCTAGACTTGTGATTTGTGGCAGCAAGTAGTTCAACCAAGCCCCAGGCCCGCTGTGACTATGGGTCCCGGTAACTGCGACATTGTTCTTGTTGTACATTGCATATTCTGGGCCCAACTCCTTAAGCCTCTGCAAGATGCCATGACGGACGGCAGTGTCGCCGGACTGGGTATCAAGGACAAGGTAGACGACCCGTGAGGCACTCCTAGAAAGGCTTCCTACGATGAATGCCCGACAATAGATGCGTTGGCGGACACCGCTGCCCACTTGATCCGTGTCAGCGTAGCCCATCAAGTTGATCTCGGCAACCGGTCTGAATAAGTTGAGGTTAGCATGTGCTCATTGGCACATTCACGCATTTCCCTTACCCAGTAATATCTGCCTTTCCGACCCCCAGCAGGTAGTCACCCTGCGCAGCGGCATTGTCGCTGCCCTGGCTTTGCACGGCTTCTCCGTCTACATTGGCCGGGAGCAAATGCACACTTCGAGGCGGACTCTGCAAAACGAAACCGAGCCACAGAAGTCCCGTTGTGAGAATGAGAGAGAGCGCCCACAGCACTGGGGCTAACGATCTCCGTGCCATTTTCGTGTTGCCCTGAATCACCATGTCTTTTGCAGCTTACGACGGGGACTTGGTATGACAATCCCCGTCTCATTTCGGGTCAGATAGGAAGTTTCCGGAAGGGTGCATCGTCCTAACGAGATGATTTCTCTGGCAACGGACGAGAATGCCAGAGTATAAAGTGCAGGGATTGACCGCTGTTGATGGATAGAATCACTTTTGGATTGATTCTTTCAAGGCCGCGAGGCTCCGCCGAAACGGGGCAACAAGTGTCGTCATCCTGACGAATCACCAAGGATCGGCGGGAGCCTTAACACATGAGCAAGGCCAGCGAATAAGAGGCGACCATTTAACAAGCGCCAAAGCCTGGCCTTGGCATCCTGGAAAGGATTATCGCAGTCAACTGATTATGTACCAACAAGCCAATTCAACTTCCCCAGCAACCTACAATGGCCCTGATATGGGAGTCCCACGACTCACTGCCCTGTGAGTGATATTGCCCTGGATGGAGAGACCGTTGGCACGTGCTGACCGCTTTTCTCCCCAGACATTGACCCCGACGTCACCGATGCCGACCACCAGAGCGCCAAAGCTTCGATTGCTCGACACCTCCCCAAGGACTATCTCACCACGCCTCACCCCTCCCTCGCCCCTCTTCCTGCAGTCAACTTCTCCGAAACATTCCGTCAAGAAATCAATCGGGTAGCCGCGGGCCACCCCCGCCAGCAGGGGATTGACGTGTCGCGCTACGAGGCCCCAGATGAGCCGTCGAGTGATAGTGATCAGGCCACAATGAAGGAGGCGCTGCGGAACGCGTACATCTTGAGCACTTTCCTGTCAGGTCGGCATGCAAACCTTCAGTTGCTGGACGAGTTTGGCAAAAACGCTTGGCTTATCGGCAATTCTCAGACAGAACAAATCCTCCAGGTGCTCGAACACGAGCTTGCCGGGCTTAAATATGAGACCGAAAACATCAACAGAGCTCGGAAAGCTACCCAGGAACAGTCTAAGGGCGAGCTTTTGACCCTTCAGGAAAATTGGAAGCGAGGTATAGGCAGAATTCTTGAGATCCAGGTCGCTGCAGCCCAGCTACGGCAACAAATGGGCCAGGGTCAACTGCATCCTGCACCATCAGATCCTTGAACGCAACTGGGCAATATTTTGATAAGCAGGGATACATGCTGATGCACACTGCTGCATCAGTAACGCAGCGATCTGTCGGGATCAGATGCGGAGGATGCCCGGTCGCTCTGTTCGGCACAAATACGGGCGAGATCTCCGCATGCGCAGACCGCATTAACCTACTAAGCTCAATTGACGCTTGCTTACCTGATATCCTAAGACCTCGAAAAACAGTCCACAAGAATGCCTACCTGGGAGCCTTAAACGTGGGCTACGAGACAAAGGGAAAAGTCCCCGGGCATAGAATTCTGGTCGTCTACTCTGTTGGGACGTGGCCTCAGCAATACAAGGTTAGTTGACACCGGAGAGCAATCTGCCAGAACACCGAGCCGCGTCTGGGCGGGTCCTATATTGAAACCGCAATTTTGAGACCCGAGAGGGGAGCTGCAACCTGCTGGGTCAAAGCTCTGCGTTAGCCCGAAGGATGACTCCCTGCACCTCTCTCCAGCGAGAACAGCCGTGTCCTGCCTGGTTCCTCGCTTTGTTGAGACGTGGAGCTGGGTATTCTTCTTGTGCACCGCTCCTACTTCTCGTCCTCCACCGGACCTGGGCCAAGCAGCCAATGCTCAAATCTCCAACATCTGAGTGCAACCTTCTCTGTCTTCATAGGTCTGTAGTGGGTTTCTCCAATTTATATCTTTCCGGACACGGTTAGGCTGCCCTTCCCCCGCAAACGGGGATTAGGTAGCCCTTTTTCTTCTGGGTTTTTTTTGGGCTTCCTCCATCAACACAGCTTTGAGCATTGCCGCCCCATCGCTTCATTCGGGCGTTCTAGCTTATGCAGGATTTTCCCATCCCTTGTCAGCCACTTCCGTTCTCTATGCGGTGCCGCTTGCCAGTGGGCTTTCCCCGCGTTTCTTGCATTGGACGCCCCCTTCAAGCCACTCGGGTGGGGTGTTGAGCCGTTCAATCCGCTGGCGGTACTAACGGCAATTTGCACCGCTAGTCCTTGGCTCTTCTTTGTCCTTTCGACGTCAGCCTGTGTGCCGTCCATCTTGTTTTGATGCCTCTCGAGAAAGCGAAGTTCCTCGTTGCCTTTCTTGATGCAGGGGCTTTTGCTCGGACCTTTCATGATTCGAGGCCAGCGAGAGACGAGCTACCAGAATTGATAGGGATTCTCGTTGGAGCTAACCGACGTCTGGAGCTGCTCGCTGATGCTAGCCAGCTTGGGTTGAGGGGGACGAGATATCCCCGGTCAGCCTGAACTTCACACAACCTGGGCCTGTTGGCCTCGCATCCATCTCGAGGTACACCTTTGTTGACCCAACTTGCTCGACATCCGGAGGTGCGAAGAGTCTGGTGTCTCGTCCTTGACGGATTCTTACTTCGCTTCGACGCAATACGGACTCCTCTCACTGCCCAGCTGCCGAGTCGATGATCCCCGTCATCCTCAATCTTATTGAACAAACCCCGCATATTCAACGCAATCAGCTCGTCTCCAGGTTTACTCCGGATGATCACCTTGCAAGGATGCTCGGACAAGACGACAACCGTTCTTTCACCCAGTGGAGTCCCCGGGAGGCGTCCTCATGGAACCCCTCTCTCCCCTCCCTCCAGTCTCCCGAGAGGTGGAGAGGAACAGATCGTCAGAAGTCTTATATTGAGACGTCTCGCTCCTTGTGTCTCTCATTTCCTCCTCCTCCAGCCTGCTCCTGGTCGAGCAAAGCACATTTACTCACGTCAGAATATATCGAAGCGTTGTATCGTTCATTGAACCAACCGCCACCATGACTATCCCGGAAGAAGTTGATATTATTGTCTGCGGCGGTGGCAGTGCGGGATGTGTGCCAGCTGGACGTGAGCCATGCCTACATGAGTTCATTTGAAAGACCGACACTGACGCCTTGCTAGGTCTGGCCAACCTGGACCACGATCTCCAGGTCCTCTTGATTGAGGCCGGGGAGAGCAACCTCAACAACCCCTGGGTCTACCGCCCAGGCATCTACCCGAGGAACATGAAACTCGATTCGAAAACCGCCACGTTCTACTATTCTCGACCCTCCGAATGGCTCGATGGACGTCGTGCCGTCGTCCCCTGCGCCCACGTTCTCGGTGGAGGCAGCTCTATTAACTTCATGATGTATACGAGAGCAAGTGCCTCTGACTATGACGACTTCCAGACCAAAGGATGGACCACCAAGGAGCTCATTCCCCTGATGAAGAAGCATGAAACCTACCAACGAGCCTGCAATAACCGAGATCTCCACGGGTTCGAAGGACCAATCAAGGTCTCCTTTGGCAACTACACTTATCCCATCATGCAAGACTTCCTCCGGGCTGCTGAGTCTCAGGGCTTCCCCGTTACGGACGATCTCCAGGACCTTGTGACTGGTCATGGTGCCGAACACTGGCTCAAGTGGATCAACCGAGACACTGGCCGTCGCTCTGATGCTGCTCATGCATACATCCATGCCACTCGTGCCAAGTATCAGAACCTTCATCTCCAGTGCAACACGAAGGTGGACCGTGTGGTCATCGAGAACGGCAAAGCGGTCGGTGTCCTGACTGTGCCTACCAAACCTGTTGGTGGAAGGAACCCTGAACGCAAGTTCTGGAAAGCCCGCAAACTCATCATTGTTAGCTGTGGTACTCTAAGTTCACCTCTCGTCCTGCAAAGATCTGGCATTGGTGATCCAGAGAAGCTCCGAAAGGCCGGTGTCAAGTGCATTGTGGACCTTCCGGGCGTTGGCCTCAACTTCCAGGACCACTACCTGCACTTCGCCACTTACCGGGCCAAGCCTGAGACTGAGTCGTTTGACGACTTTGTCCGTGGTGACCCAGAAGTCCAGAAAGCCGTGTTCGAAGAATGGAACCTCAAGGGAACTGGACCATTGGCCACCAATGGCATTGAAGCTGGCGTCAAATCACGACCTACAGCAGAAGAACTCGAGGAGATGAAGAAGTGGCCCACTCCGGAGTTCGTCACCGAGGGAGGTTGGGACAGCTACTTCAAGAACAAGCCCGACAAGCCAGTCATGCATTACAGTGTGATCGCCGGATGGTTCGGTGACCACCTCGACATGCCTGCTGGCAAGTTCTTCACCATGTTCCATTTCTTGGAATACCCTTTCTCTCGTGGCTTCACCCACATCGTGTCTCCAGACCCATATGAGGCACCAGACTTCGATGCCGGCTTCATGAATGACAAGCGTGATATGGCACCTATGGTCTGGGGCTATATCCAATCCCGTGAGACAGCCCGTCGGATGCAAGCCTATGCCGGTGAAGTTACGGCCATGCATCCTCACTTCAAGCACGACTCGCCCGCCCGAGCTCTGGACATGGACCTCAACACCCGCAACCAATACGCAGGACCGAACCACATCAGTGCCAACATTCAACATGGTAGCTGGACCATGCCCGTCGAGCAGGGCGATGTGCCTGAGCCCAGCTTTCTCAACTCGAACAAGCAGCACTACCGCGCACCTCTTAAATACAGCAAGGAAGATAGTATGATCCCTTAACCCCAGGGTTGCAGAGCACGCAACGGTTTACTGACCTACCATACAGTTGCTCACATCGAGAAATGGGTTCAGCGACACTGCGAAACCACGTGGCACAGCTTGGGAACCTGCTCTATGGCTCCTCGAGAGGGCAACAGCATTGTCAAGCATGGTGTATTGGATCCAAGACTAAACGTCCACGGCGTCAAGAACCTGAAGGTTGCCGATCTGTCCGTCTGCCCAGATAATGTTGGCTGCAACACCTTCTCGGTAAGTTGTCTCATCATGACCGTCGCCAAGTCGAATGCTAACCGGACCTTGTAGACTGCGCTGCTCATTGGCGAGAAGTGTGCGGTGCTCGCTGCCGAGGATCTTGGCTACAGTGGTGCAGCTTTGGACATGAAGATCCCACCTTACCACGCTCCTGGCGAGAGTGTTGGTCTTGCTCGCCTGTAGATTTGAATCAAGTGGAATAGCAGAATGAACAAAAGGTACAGGCAGGATCCACAGAGAGATGGATAGTCAATAATTTGATTCTATCATCCGCCCGCAAATGACTTTCAAAAGGTCTACGTCGCTCAGCGTTCCCTTATTTCTTCCTCTCTAGCTCGATATCAAATGATGTGTTGAGTGTTACTACAGGATAACCAACGCGTCACGCCGTGGTCAAATCACAATCTGCAGCTTGAACTGTGTACGGGGGTACAATTCCAACCGGACAGATCTTGGATCAGTCTCGCTGTGTAGGTTCCTTCATTTCAAGGGTATATCTGCGCGCAAACGCCTTCCGATCACCCGCCGGAAATGTACAACCAGAAGAGATGGTATTCTGTTATATTCCTACGGAGCGAGGGGAGTACGTAGTAGATGTTGCACATCAACTTCCCGGAAATATCGGACGGAACGGGCAGAAGGAACCGCATGGTTTTGGGGTTTGGTCGTTAAGTGTTGCTGGGGGACGATTAACGACAGAGCTAAAGTGGCAGGGATGGAAGATCGAGATTGAGCGCAACCCTCCAGTCTACTTGTACTTGTTAGTCTACTCCCCACCGGTGGTGGCGATCTGCTGGCTCTCCGTCTTTTGTACCTCGTACGAGGTACTCTGTACCCGGTACAGTACGGTAGGCCAAATTCAGCGGTCGGCGGGTGCGCCTCCGATGTCATTCTGCCTGAGCACTGTGAGACCTCACGAATCGAAGATGATCTTCCTGCCCGCTGGCTCCTTTTGTTCATCGCCCAAATTCTAACGCAACAAAGAAGAGTGCTCCGACGTGGAACCACAGCATGTGCATATGCCCTTCACCATTGGCCCTCACACCACGCGTCTTGGGTCGCACAGCTCTAACAAGTAAGCGTCTAAGCCTCTGACCATGATCGAGTCTGAGCTCAGGCCTTGGCCCAGCTGCCCTAGCAGCTGCGCCTACCGAGCCAGGGACCGCCACCACTGACGTCGGGGGAGAAAGACAATGGCCATGCCAGGATTGTGGTGTCTCGAGGGTTTGAGTTGCAACCGAGAGAAGTTGGTTCCTGAGAACAATTACACTTTTGGATTCAAAGTGGCCACAAATTGGATGGCAAGAGTGAATTGAATTCAGCTGTTTGTTTTCAGACCTCCCCATCCCCGCGGGTTTTATGCCAAAGGCACCCTTTCAGACCACATCCACACACATCATACAGGTCGCCACCCTCCATCTCATGGCCTCATCATCTTGTCTCAGTTGCTAAACGAGTCATCACGCCGTGCTCCCAAGAATGGCTGCCATCGATTCCCAGCTCTCCGATGGTGGCTGTTTCACAACATCCACCTTGACGACTACAAGCACACCTCTCTCGAGCCACCCTCGTCGTCGGAGTTCCATGGAATCTGACAGGATTCGTGGCTCCCGAGACCTCCATTCGTGCAACGAGGAGCCTACTCGTCGGAATTCGGCCTTTCTCGAAGTCGGCCTTGGCGGTGAAGACGCCATTGTCGACTCTAAATTAAGAAGGGACTCGCGGCCAAAACTTCAAGTGCGCTTTCGAAGCGACGTCGATGTTGCCGAACCTGAAGCAATTGACTGGGCTGAATCCTCCCCAGGTGACAGAGCAACTCGTCCGCAAATGTCTCCATCCTTTCGAACAGTGCCCAGATTACTTTTCTTAGCTCTGGTCCTCTTACTGGTCGTCCCAAGCTTGCACCATTCTCCCCTGTTGGTCGCAGGGGCGAATCCTCTGGACCGCAGAGCTGGATCGCCGGTGGTGGGATCGTGGCGACGTGTCAAGAGGAAAGTGCCCCCGGGAAATACTAAGAGAGAGAACAGCCCGACGGTCGTTTGCAAGAGGTGGTCAGGGCAGAGCGCCCTCGTCAACGGGACGTTATACTATTATGGAGGGAGAGCAACCACGAGTTCTGACCAGACCTCAAATCAATGGAGTGCGTCTCATCTACATTAGTTTGCGCGTCGGCTGCTGACAAGTGATGCAACAGACAATGCTTTCCTAACCCTCGACCTAACAAAACCCTGGCAGATTTCATCACCGTCACTGACAGGCCTGCCAGTGCCGAGTGGACCGCCCGCAGTGTCGCTTGGCTATTTGTGGAATTCCTACGATGCTCTGTATCTCTACGGCGGCGAGTTTTCAGACACGCCCGTTGCGTCTCCTGTTCCGTTCTCCACTTGGGCATATGACATCTCTTCATCGACATGGTCTGAGTTGTCGAGTCCGCAAACAAGTTCAGGGCGGAATTCGGAGCCAGCAGGGCAACCGGTCCTGCGTGCTGCAGAAGGAGCTGGAATCTCGGTGCCGAATCTAGGCCGAGGTTTCTATTTTGGAGGGCATCTGGATTTCTTGACCACGCCCGGGTGGTCAGAATCGGTCGCGCGGGTCTATCTTCGAGGCATTCTCGAATATACCTATCCCGGCTACAGCAACGCTGCGGTGAATGGTGGACACACGGCAGGTTCACCGGGCATATATCGCAATATCACCCAAGGTGGTACTCAGGATTCAGCAGGCTTCCCAGAACGTGCAGATGGCCTTCTTGTTTACATTCCCGGATATGGAAGGTCAGGCATCATTCTGGGTCTCGCAGGCGGTACGAATGCAACATTCACCCAGATGAATGTGATTGATGTGTACGATATCGACTCCTCCACCTGGTACAAACAGGCCACGTCAGGACCCACGCCCGATATTCGAGTCAACCCATGTGCTGTCGCGCTTTCCGCGGCTGATGGGAGCTCCGTTCAAGTCTACATGTACGGGGGTCAGAACCTGCTACCTTATGGCGAACAAAAGCAGTACGACGATATATGGATTCTGACAGTGCCGTCTTTCACATGGATTCAAGTCGACACCAGCAAACAAGCAAATCCTCCAGGCAGGGCTGGGCACATGTGCAATGTTTGGAATGCGCAGATGATAGTTGTCGGTGGATATGTCGGTCAGGATCTATCGTGCGACAGCCCTGGAATCTATGTCTTTAACACCAGCTCCCTTCAGTGGCAAAGCGGATATGTTGCCTTACAGACGGATGACAACCTCAACAGGCAGAAGAGCCAGCAAGACGATCCTTCAGCGCTGCAAGGGTCATTTGGATACTCAGTCCCAGAAGAAGTGCAGTCTGTCATTGGGGGGAATGCTGTGGGATCTGCTACTGTCTCTGCCCCAGCTCAGTCGGCCACTCAAGGTCCGTTGGCAACAGGAACACCACGCATTTATACAGTCACTCAATCTGGCGGGTCTGTAGCTACCAAGACCGCGGCGCCTACCGGAACGAGTGGCGCTAATGGCGATGGCATTGGCAGCAGCAGTGAAAACAAGGGGTCCTCGAGCGGAACCAATATTGGAGCCATCGTCGCTGGTGTCATTGCGGGAGTACTTGCTGTCGTGGCGGCCTATCTCGCATTCTGCGTCTGGCTCTATCGCAAGCAGCTTAAGATCTACAAAAACCATGTGGCCATGGCACAAAGACAGGATCTGGCTGGTGATCCCAGATTCATTGGCGCCGGGCTGGCGGGAGGTGCGAGGTACACCGACAAAAGTCAATCGAGCGACAGCCGCCACAGCGCGGACAATCGCAGTGGAAGCAGCGGCGGGCGCGCCAATCAGTTGTCAAGCAACAATCCTTATCGAAACGTACCTGGAGGCGCTGGATCAGCAACGGCGGCGAGTAGTACGGAAGACCTCATGGCAGGTCAGGAGCCCAGTTTCTTGGGGGTGGTATTAAACCCCAGACGAAGTCTGAGGGTGGTGAACAAAGACTGAGGCTGTGGAATTGGAATTTGGTTTAATGATTCGATGATTAGTTGAAAACGGCATTTCGAAGAGAAGCACACGATTTCAAGGGCCATCATCACATGCATGGACACATAATAAATGCCGACTGGCCATGTACCTTCGCTTCTGTATATACCCACTGGGCAATTGATGAACTCTGTTGATGATTTTGATTGGAATCTCGGAGAATATATCTCACTCGGGTTTTGCGCAGATGTGAGCCTGACGCGCTTGCCACCAATTCTGGCACCAGTCTGAACTACTACTTCTCCTTGCAAATGCCCTCTTTCTAATCAGAGCACGGTGTCCCCCCTTGCAAGACCTGTAGGCGACAAACTCCCACAGCTGTGACATATTGAAGGCCTCCTGCAGTAACCGCTATGCCTACGCCCTAAGTGAGGTCAAGTTCGTTCTCCTTAAACGCTTCGATGCTTCGGGTACACTGGGCCACAGCGACATCCTGTGCCACGCCCACACCGTAGATGAGAGTTCGTTCACCTCTTAGATCGAAGGTGACTACTAGTTATAACGAACGTTTCGGCTACCTTTTGGAAATGGCGGTGCGTCGTCCTTCATCCATACTGTTGGCAATATTTAACAGAGCGACGGCTACCTTGTCGATACCTTCTCGATATTGAGCACGCTTCCCCCATACCAGTGCTTGCCCCAACGCCATGCTAATGACCGTTCTTCACCTGATCAGGTCTCTATTGTGCTCCTTTTCCAACCATGTCCACCATGTGGTGGGGGACGGAGGGGAGGGGGGAAGTCCAATCTATCTTTCTCTCGTCACCACCGTGTAAACGCCATGTCTGATGCCTGTTTATGTTTGAGGTGCATGACTGTGCAACGACGGTGCCCAAGCCCCCTAGACAGCCTTTCAAAACCAAGAGATTCGTCGCTCTCGGATCATCGTTCTCACGCTGGTTGGTACGTTTCAAGTCGGATCGGTCGTTATCATTAATCCTCGTAATCAGCCGCTCGTCCTTGACGGGGGACGCGTTGCTAAACCGTCTCCTTCCCAGGTCCCAGGCCCTGTATGCAATTCAATGTCTCCTGCCCGGCGACCTCCAGATTCTTCTCATCGTCCAAGCGACTCCGCACTCTGACCAGCTCGTTCCGGGCCTCCTTTGTCTCCTCTTCATCGCCGCTCATCACCGCGATGCGTAGCCTCTCCTCGGCCTTTCGCCGCTTACGTTCTTGTCGTTCTTCGTCTTCCCGCATTTGGCGGATCAATGTAGACTTCTCTCTTATGCGGCTGCCGTACCGGTAGAAGAGGAAGGGGATCGGGATAATGATGACTTCGAGGATCCCCAGTAGGGTTCCCGCCCAGTTGGGACCAAGGGCGCGATACATCGCCGGCCCAGCTAGGGGCAACGTTCCACCCAAGAAGGATCTCATCACGGCGTTGCCTGCCATTGCGCTCGCCGCGTAGATTCCATAGCTGTACGCGAGGTAATTTCCCGCATAGATGAACACGGCTCCGTTGCCGAATCCAAATGGGATACCCGCAGCAATGGAGATGGCCCAGTGGATCTTCGTCGGGTAACATGTCCACGCAAACCACAATTCGCCGATGGGGACCAGCACGGCAGCGATGCACACGATGCTCATCATTGCCTCAGGTGGCACGTTTCCATCTTGGTCCCGCCTGTGCGAATTGATGAGTTTGCGGATGGGCGATACGCTACAGACTGCGAACATCAGTTAGCCTGTATCATCGTTGAACAAAAAATTTAATAACAAGAATAATTCCGGCATCAACGGAACTGCCATTCAGAGACGCAAAGCACTGACTAATTGCCATAGTACCAACCCCAATCCCAAGGAAAGAGAGGCCGCTGATGCCAGTGGACCAGCCGCGCAGTTCGGTGAAGACGATGGGGTAGGCAACGAAACACAGGTAAAGGATGCCTGGGGAGGTGATTAGTCGGCGGTCGTCAAGTGTTACGGGGACATGCCCTCCAAGGAAAAAGAAAGGGGAAAGGAACGAACCATAGACGATGGAGATGTAGAGATTCCAGAAAATGCAGATTTTCTCCTGAACGGCCATGATGAAAGGGCGTGACAGGTTGATCTTCATCAGCTCGACAAATCCAACTCGAATATCGTAACGGCTCCAGTATCTTTCATCGTCATGGGCTAGTCGCAAGTTCTTCGCTCGCCGCTGTAGGAGGACCGGGGCATAGGTCTCTTTCAGAAGTATCAGTAAAACAAATGCGCTGCCTCCCCAGATCATGGCGATCCAATTAGTCCATCGCCAGCCTAGGTATTCAGTCACGAAGCCTCCGATAGTCGGACCAACCACTGGCCCGTTCATTGGCCCAATCGACCAGATAGAGAAGGCGGTCGCCCGATACTCATCCGAGACCAAATCCGCGATGGATCCGGGCGCATTGGCTATCATGGCACTTCCAAAAACAGCGCCGAAAAACCTGGTGATAATGACGGTCTGCAAGTCTGTAGCAACGGCTGTAGGGAGGACAAGAACGGTGAAAATAGCCATGCATATAGTATATACGGGTTTTCGACCATACGTCTCAGCAATTGGGGCGAGAAGTAGGGAACCTACTGCCAGCCCGAAGAGATAGGTCGTGACACCAAGAGTGGCAATCGGTTCCGACTTGACACCAAATTCCTGCATCATGGCATCCATGCCCGAGGTGTATGAGGTCGAGTACATGACCACTCCCAGTGTCCCAAACGATATCGTGAAGATGGCAAAGGACTTGTACCATATTGACCAATTTCTAGGATTTCCAGGATCATCGGGATCAAAGTCGACTTCAAACGACGGATCTAACGTGAGGTCGGTGCCGTGAGTGGTTATTCTTGTTGCCGTTCTTGTGGCAGATTGTCTTGACGCTTGAGTAATAGTGAGTGTCAAGGCTCGTTCATCATTATCGGAATCGGATCTGGAGACAGAGGACGTGGGAGACTGTTCAGCAGTGGGTGAATAGAATTCCTTGTGAATCGGGGTCTGTGGGGAAGAACAGGCACTGTTTGGGTATTGAGAGATGACGACTGGTGGAAGGGACTTTTCTGAATCTGACATTGTGGGGGAGAGGGATCTGTTGCGTGGGATGGGCTTGAAATAGGTAAAAAAGAACAAGTCTCAGAAGCTGAAGCAGTTTTTGTCTACTTGGGCAAACAACCAGCAAATGTCATTCAAAGCGAGAATATCGTGAAAAGGAGGAACACAGAAGGCGAAGAACGAACGAACCGAGTTGGAAAATTCCGCGCCGTTTCTTGCGGTGTACTTACAACAGTCGAAGAAAGGGCGTATACTGGCTGAACTCTCGGAATGAGATGCCGTGCAGACCAGTCATGGTAGAGCCCAGGCTTTTCCAAGCGGGGCGACCAGGCATGGAAGATGGAAGAGCGGCAACCGTACAAAGACGGAGAAGGGGGAAGGGGAAAAAAAAGAGTGCGTGTGTCGATGTGTGACAAAAAGCGGTGGTATGCGTGCGCCCCGTGCCACCAGATGCCATGGTCCTCGCCCTTGCCCTCACCCTCGCCTTTGCCCTTTGCCTGGTGTTCAATCGGGGGTGGGGTTGTCGCTGAAATCCCATGTTCGCGTCATGGTCCATGATTTTTAAGCAGAGACAAGCAAGACGAGACCTTTGACGGCTCTTTGACGGCTCGTGCCAATCAGCGGCTGTGGTGGCTAGCGGTTCTCCAGTAGCATGCCGGTCTCATGCCTCGGGAAAAAAGTGACGGGTGTTGTGGTCATTTGCCGGATCTGGTTGACAAGGACGAGGGCGCAGTAGTGGTTGGGGAGTGAGATGACGGGGTCTGATACTCCATCTTCCTGTTCCTAACCAGACTATCAGACATGTTGGCCGTATAGAGTAGTAAAGAAGAAGTTCTCCACCATTAGATCGAACGTGCCCTTCATTTTTGATGAGCATGTCGATGACCTTGCGAGATGGTTGGGCAATAGAGTGAACCAGGTGTTGGGACTCACGGTGATGCCGTCCGTGGACTCGGCTATTGACCCCTGTAACTAGCCTGGTGGCCCTGCTCGAACAAACTTGCATAGCCCGTTCATCTTTGCCACAAAGGCGGACTAGCGAACTGGGAATTTCCATCAACTCGGCAAGGGATGGTCCAACTCCAACTCTGTGAACGGGTGAATACAAGTACAGCTCTGCTAGACACCTCATCCCATCACCAAGTGAATTGGCCTGTCGGCGGGGCACTACATTTCTGACTACCAGATCGCCCATATTTGGATAGTGCATGCCATCACAATAGATGTTGACCGACATGCGACCTTCCTAAAGAGTGTGCCCTCGCACCAGGTGTTGCTGGGTTACTGCGGAAAGCCAAGCAAGATATTTAGTGTGTCGGTGGTTCGAAGGAGCCCACCATGAGCAAATCCAGTCCTATGGGACCAGGAAGAGAGCACTAACTCTGGCCATCGTATGAAGGGCATACGGCAGGGACAAGGCTGCAAGACTTCGACGTCCCCTTTTGAAGCAATACTCTGTACCGGGTACCCAGGAGAGGATCGCAGCTTCGTGCCCTGGGACTGTGGAGCCTTGCGGGCTATATCTTTCCAGAATTGAAGACCCACTGAGTGCTGCGATCCGTGCTTTTGCCCTGCCCGGGGCCACGAGTTCGAGACTGCGAAGAGCTCTTGCACAATGACCTCGCCGCAAGATTCTATCTATTCTTTCATTTTGTATGGGCACTTGTACCCAGTTTCGACTGGCAAACCAGCGTCGTGAACACGGTCTCTGACAGGCTTCCCTCTATTTTTGCATCGAATCATCTCTAGCATTGCGGTGGAACACGAAGACAGCGAACATCAACTACTTTACTACTAAGCCTATGTCATGCCTGACCCTGTCATTAATTTTGCCTCTCAGCTCATCGACTATAATCGAAGCCTTATTCTCCTCTACTGACCCTTATATTTCACCATCCAGAAACGCACCGCATATGATCAAAGATTTCCCTTCCTGTCTGTTTCGATCAAGCCACACGATGAAGCGTTCGGGAGAAGTGAAATCCATCATCTAAGCGTATCCGAGAGTTGCAAAAGTGGCCTCCCAAAGGACAATGTTGAAGAGAGCCGGTGTGAATCTGCCTATTCTCCACTGTGCCAGTGCTGAAAATCGCTGGCTCGGTGAGCAGGGCAGTCCTAGCATTCAGATCCAACTTCAACGGCTGAGAATCCGCCTTAGCTTACGAACCTGATTTGGCAGAAGCGATGTGGGAGAAAGTATAGACGAATCTCAAAAGGTTTCCTCACTCACTAGATAGTGACTTCACAATCAGATAATACTTCTCTCATGAATTGACTTCCGTGTAGCTGGGGGTCCGATCATTGATCACGGGCCAGAATGAGGTGAGTTAGGATGGTGAATGGCTATACAGTAATCGTAGCACCCACGGCCTCTTTTACCGAGGCAATCTGAAGTTGATGTCTCCGGATGGGTCCGAAGGAGGGTTGGTGACCAGAAATAAAAGGGAGGATTAATGTAGGCAGAGTCCCGAGATGTTCTCATCTCTTCCAAACACCGTTTTCATCCCTTTTCCAACGCCCGCCGATCGGGATATGGACCCTCGCTGGCCGTGGCTGATATTCACCATCGCTCACAGTAGCAACCGAAAGGATCCTGACGTCCTGTTGGTCGAGCTCCGATGGTGGTGTTCCAATGTTCTTCTTATCCTTCTTCGCGGGCGTCAATTGTCCCGAGACTTGATTGTCTAGGACTTCGCCTTCAATGATATTGGTCTCCAATGTGGGAACTTTCCGCTGCCGCCATTCATACCGCATCTTCTCCCGCTCATCCGGTTCGTCAGCCTCATCCCCACTGATAATACGCGTGAGTGCAGGCAATTCTGGTTTGTTGTGTATTCCATGCAGCGAAGGTGGTCCAGAGTGCGGACGTCTTATTTCCTGTTCTCCAGCACTAACATGCATGAGGTTCTGGGCACCACCGGGCTGTTGAGCTGGGGCAGATTCTCTGTAGACGTTCTTGTATCTCGGGTCCAATGCCAATTTGGTCTTGACAGAGGATGCGTGTCGGGAGGTGAGGATAATCTGATCCATATCTTTCTTTTCCTTCTTCCCCCCCCTGCTAAATAGCCTGCTGAATCCTCTGGAGGACGACTTGGTGGAGGAGTGTACGGGAACAGAGCTGGCGCGGCTTCGATCCATATTGTATATTGCGCTGAACCACCCCGGCTCAGATGTGCGAGATGACGAAGAGGCATTGCTGCTATTCCGCGACAACGAAGGCGAAGTCATTCTGAGATGCTCAGTTGAATGTCTTCGGTCAGGAACGCCGCGATTAGGGCTCTCAAGGAAGGCAAAAGCGGATGCCATTTTGCGACTTGTCTGAGTTGCTGAGAGAGGGGAATGAGAGAGTGCGCAATAGCGGATATCCTATACGTCACACCAACAGCAATGAATGATGATAACGATCACACGAGGATCGAAGACAGAGGGAACTGCATGCACCTACAAACAATTCGGTCTGAGTGGCTAGTTCACATCTCTGATATCAAAAAGATGTCAGAAGAGGAGGCGCATGGTTAGATGGTTAGCATATCCAATTGGAGAGGTGAGAAGTGAACATGTGGCGGTCGTAGGAGAAGCCGTCGACTCATCAATACTAGATTGGCTTTAGCCATGGATTAGGTTGCAGCCGGGAGAGAAAAATGTTGTTCGGCGGGAAGAGTTTGTTGGCGAGTACGAAGAACTCCGTGCCATCGGAATTTTCTACGCCCCACGCCACCGACGCCACCCTCGCACTTTACAAGGACTTCGTGGGGCGGTACATGCGGGGCCACCAGTCCAATAGAAGAATAACTGAGCTAAAGAGGAGCTCAACAACGAGGAAATGGTCGCTATATTGAACACAGCTAGCGGGGAGATGAAGGACAGAGTGGTTCTGTTTTCAAAGGGCCAACTCAAACGGAATACTCATTGCCGATGAAGGCCAGCGCTCTAACCCGGAAGGACTTCGAATTGCATGGTTCAGATACACTTTGACCAAGACCATCAAACCAACCGTGACCGGAAAAGGCGTGCCACCGTATAGCAAGATCAAGACATAGGTGGAAATAGTCTACCGATATACTGTCGATGCTGTGAGACAGGTTCTGCTAATACATCAGGCTATGCTGAAGGAGGGAGATCTTGAGGAACAGAGCGGGAATTGAGCCTTTTTGGCTGGCTGGGATGCCCTGATGTCTGATTTCAATTGACGACTAGTACTGAGTACATACTCTTGACATGGGTACAGCACATAACTGCCACGGCTTCATTGTCGTGAGGCACCAAGATGGTTGCTTCCGAGGGAGAACTGCATGTAAAGTCTTCTGTAAGGTTGTTAGCGATGATTGGGCATGGTATTAGTGGGGCCTACAATATGCTCGATCCATCCATTTCCTAATACTCTAAGAGTGCGAGGGCTTTGCCATGGATGAAGATATGCTCCTTGCTGAGAATCATTTGCGACGTAGAGAATAGTTGGAATGGAAGGAGGGAGGTGCGCAATGGAGAGTAGATTCTTACTATCTGACTAGATGCCCTACTCGCTGCTCAGTACGGAGGAAGTGAGGTCCAGTTGAAGGTTCAGTCAATGCTCAGCCGACACTCCTTCCCTCACTTTCTAGGATTATGTAACTGTCATGGTCACTTTTCTAAATACAGGCAGCTGTTGTTATGAGTGAAGGTCACCTTCAGCCCCGTAGCGAGACACACTTGGTTTCATACTGAGGAGCGCACGTCTTTGATGGACCATGCTACTGATTTTGCATAACCAATTTGTAGGTGCGTTTTGGCTCGAAGGTCGGCCAGGTGCCAGGTCGGCGCTTCGGTGTTAGAATCCAGTCAGTGCGAAATCGAATCTCGAGAGCATCAATTTACGTCAACCTTACTCTGCGCGCGACAGATGGCGAGCACTGGGACTCGAATGGTGGGTGCTGGAATAAAACATTTATTAATCTCGTATGAAAAGTAAGTGTCCGTGTTTGACAAAACATTTCGAGGGTTGCGGCTTTTTCAAAGAACCAAACAATATGCTGTGTCCGGCTGAGAGTATTGTGGAGGTTCTCTAGACTGATAGAGCCAGACTTCGTCAACTGAGTGTAATGTGGTCTCAACTCGAGGATTCCTCAATCGCAAAGCAGACTGCGGGCGGGAATGTACATGGTTGGTATTGCACCAACGCCAGCACCAGCAAGCATCAGAACATTTTGACCTTACTTGTTGCCACCAAACCAGCTGCTTATCCCACTCTTTGTCTTTGCGGCCTTTTCTTCCACTGTCTTATCGAACTTGTCGATGGCATTGTTGATCCGACTGCCTGTCTTTTGACTAACCTCTTTTGCTTTTGCTTCGGCTTCGGAGAGTTTGGCTTTGGCATCAGCAGACTACGAGCCGTCAGAATCTCAGTCGCAGGTTAAAGCGAGGTGCAGCTCACAGCTTGGTCAAACTTCCGGCCGGCTTGAGAAGCGACGGCTTCGCCTTTCTTCTCGGCCTCCTTTTCTTTGCCCGGAATCTCGCTCTTTATTTGGGATGAGAGTTTGGAGGCATCGGCTGTCCGCTGTTTAGTGACCTCCAGCATTGAGGCAATGAGAGGTTCTACCTTCGAAGTTCTTCTGAGCAACTTTGGCATTACCACCCGCATTATAAAGATAGTATCCAACTCCGCCAGCTAGGGCTATGCCCGCGATGGCGAGTCCGCGGCTCGATGACATGATGAGGGAACGTTGGGTCTGCTGAAGTGATTCAGGAACGGAGGATGTCTGCAAAGTGAACAGCTTGAATGGTGAACGAGTTGAGGAGTGACGACACTCGGAAGTGCTGCGAGAATGCTAGGTACGAGACGGGCCTCGGAGCAATTGGTGAAAGGGACTCGGCGTTCAACACACGCCGTAATGGTAATGGGTGGTATGATTGCAGCTGCACAGGAGGTCGAAGCTGGCATTGTAACAAACTCCGCCAGCAAGTGGTGCAGGTCGTGCAGGTGGTCAGCGGCAGTGACGTCATTGGCGGCACGGGAAAATGCCCCTTCAACAGGCTTCCCCGCGCCATCTGAGGGACCAGCCCAGCCAGCCACACAAAATCCTGCTCGCCTGCGCCGACGACGTAAACACTGCTGCGGCTGCAGCCACCAGGCTGCACGGGTGCTTCACGGCCCTGATTCTTTCCCTCGTAGATCCCACGCACCGGAGCCTCTATACGTAGAGTCTAGCACATCATTTCGTCTTTCCTTTTTACCATTACCCCCCTCGTCGAGAAAAATCCCGGAAACCAACCCTCATCATTTTGGTGCAGGTCCTCAAGTGGGAATTCTAGCTCTCTGTGGGCGCATAGTCTTGAATTGAATTTGGAGTTGAGGCCCACTGAGTTCGATTGCAGCCCCTATAGAAACTCCAGAGGCATGTCAGAAAATGTCTCCAAGATCCTGACTCGCATCACCACCTATGATGGGTCTGCAGCAGACTTCTATGATCACGAAATCTCTCTCATCGATACCACCCAGCCCGCCAATGAACCCCAGTCACTTAGCGAGCCTCGATCGGGCTCTCCAAGTTCGAGCACAAGGAGATTGGCAAGAAAAGGAACGAGAGAACCCTTGAAGGATCATCTCAACCGACGGAAGTATGCCAAATATCAACAGGACCGCTACCACTCCAAGACCAGCAGCGTTGTCACAGCCGAGGAACCCTCGTCGCAATCAGCATCAACTCAACAGTCGCAACAGGCCGATACAGAGGCTGGAACACCGAAGGCGGACTTCGCGCACGCTGAATCTGTCGAAAGAGGACGAAGGAGCGCAGGAAAGAGGAGGCGAGAGTCTAGAAAGCTTAAAGAGGAAATCCACGAGATCGACATTCTCTATGAAAATCAGCGGGGGTGGTTCTTCTGCGGCATCCCTCTTTATTCGCATTCATCTCTCCTGCCGCCCGATCCTAGTCCATGGACGACCAAGGATCTAAAGGATTCAGCCGTCAACATCACCAATGCTCAGGTCCCTGACCCGACCTGGGAATGGGCATGGAACAACTGGTATGTCGATATGAGCCACGATGTGGACGAGCAAGGCTGGCAGTATTCTTTTGCTTTTGGACATAATTGGACCTGGCATGGTACGCATCCTTGGTTCCACTCATTTGTCCGACGGAGACGATGGTTACGGAAAAGAGTGAAGCGTGATGTGGAAGGCAGATATGGGGCCCCTGGAAGCATGAGTGACGCCCACCATCTGTCAGGCGATTATTTTACTATCCATTCAAAGCGAGATCGTAGTCCGATCAGTGCTGTTGACGGCGCCGGTAAAATCGCCCGACCATCAAGCTTCATCAGCTTCCCAAGCACAATTGATCAGGAGGAAACGCCGGAAGAGATCCAAGACATTGCAACCTTGCTGAAGGCACTCAAGCTTGCCCCGATTGATCGAGAGAAGATTGTCGTGGTCAAGAAATTCGTCCAGCAAGGCAAAGAGGAGCTGGTCTACCTCAAAGACCATATCCCAGGTATTATGTCGTTTCTCGTGTTCCAGAATTCCAGAAGGCAGCTTCTTTTGTATCTTAAGAAGACGGCAAACGAAGCGCGCCAGCATCGACAGAGCCACAAGGAAGAGAATAAACCAGAAAGTGATGCTGAAAGTCGAAGGATCAACAATCTTCTCGCTGCAGTCGAGGCTGCCAATGCCCAAGTTGGAGCTCTTGAATATTGGAGCGACAGGAAGCATGTGTTGAAGACCGACGATGCCCGAAGTCTGGCCACACGACCAATAGCCACCATATTTGATCAACCAGCTCCGAAGCCCAAGACAGACGACGACCCCGTTGAAGAGATCAAGGGGATACCCGAAAAGGCTCACATCGAGGAGGGAAACACGCAGTCCATATTCAATTCCGAACAACGATCGTCAATTGAGCAGGAGCAGGAGCAGCAGCGGCAGCAGGACCAAGAGAAGGACATAGAGGACAAGGGCAAAGGCCGGGCATATGATGGCGAGGACGATCAAGTGGAGCAGGACTCGACGCCACGATTGGGATCGGATGATGTTTATGTTCCAGACCAAGACTAGTGGTCTGGGAGATCGAGGTTCATTGTTCACTAGTGCAGGCGTTGACTTGGGTTGCGGACAGCATGGAATATTAGTACCTAGCTATGTTCCGAGTTCTCGGTATGGACAAGTAATACTCGGTGCCTCGTAAGGGGTACTTCACGGGTACTTCGTATTGGGTGCACCGAGGCTGCCAATCCCTGGTCCGATAATCGGTGGCTGGGGTGCCAATATACCCCTATTTGGTTAGCGCCATTGCGGGTCGCGTCCTGACGCGACTTTCGTTCTCCTCATAAATGAGTGCAGGAACAGTTGAACTCCCAGAATTCTCCTCGAAGTGCATTCAGACACATAGAAAAGCTCAGACCGTGGAATAATTGTTGATTTTGTTGCTCGTTCTCCATCTCAAACCTCGAGCTCTCGCTCTCGCAGTCTCAGTCTTGGTGTTCACTTCGTGGTCGCCCCCCCCCCCTTCCCAGCCCGCCATGGCTCCTTCCGTACGTGGAAGTTCAACTCGAGTCAGCAAACGACAAGCTGCCGTCGACATCCATGCAAAAGTCCTCAAAGTCTCGAAAGCATCCAAAAACCCCAGAACTTCCGCAGGCTTAAAGTCGAAATTGGAAGAAATGGTTCTGAAACCTGTGGTTCATACCAAGAAGAGCGTCAAGCATGTTCCACTTCCAAAGCGCAAACGTGACGCCGTCCAGGATGACAGTGAGAGTGAACTGGATGGGTTCTATACCACCAGGATCATCTCGAAAAAGGTCTGGAAAGTTGGGATGGCTTATGTACATGGTGCTAATATCTCTTCAGCCAAAGCTGCAGCTACCGACACCTCCGTCCAGCCAGCGTCAAGAGCGAAAAGAGTCCATCGACACGGAGTTCTCCCCAACAATGACCTTTCGGCAACTTTCTCTGGGCACCGATAATTCTGAGCCAGTTCCGCAGACGCTTCCACCAGTTTTGCAGGACTTTGTGTCCTTGCACGCTGCCTTCCTCAAGGCATTTGCCGTCCACATTGTACATGATGGCCAATCTACTCCGGCCGATTTGGGCAGCCTGATGGGTTCTGTCACCCGGCTTTGGAAAAAACACACCGTCACCAAGGAAGATATTCAACGAATGTTGGCCATCTATGAATTGGGGGTTTCAACGCATTTCAGCGGTCGCCTCCTCAACCATCAAGAAGGTCCATTTAAGCTCACGGTGACAGATGCCGATTTCGTCCGCTACAGTGTCGAGTACGTCGGTGCCGGCAGCAGGAGACTTGTCAACCCCCGCTGGGATGAATACCATCTTCAAAAGCTGTACGAAGCCGAAATCGAGGCCTGTTGGATATCTCAACGCAGCAACTCTTCCTGTTGGGTCCATGGCGCCATTCGAAACTTTCCTCGTCTGAACTTTGCCGTCGGCATCGAGACACAAGTACGAAAAGCGAAAGCTGAGACTGCCCGAAGGGAGATCCTTGGTCTATCATCACAAGCACAAAATCGGGCAGGAGCCCAGTTCCCGATGCACATGAATCACAACTCTGAAAACAAAGAGGCTAACACGCCGCAAAGTGTGAAAGATCGGACACTATCCCTTCTAGATCGCATTAGGGCTAGAGCACTTGTCAATTCTTTCGTGACACCTCAGACTGCGGAAGCTACTCTTCGGCACTACGCTCTCGGCCGCATCGCAGAGGTGGTGGAGATCCTTCGAATGAAGCAACAGCGAAAACTAAGCACAAATTTCGTGTCGTGCATCCATTCGAGCCCGGGCAAGGTTCGAGGCAAGGTGTCCTTTAGCATGAACCAGTTGATCAATGACATCAAAACCAGTCTGGCCGTTCCGATTGGGGACGCTGAACTCAAAATGTGCATCCATATACTTGAAGATGAGGTACCGGGAATGTGGGTGTCCGTTTATACTGTCGGAACGGTTGAAAGCGTTATTCTTAATGGACCTGGACTGAGTGGTATTGAGATCAAGAAGATACTCGACGAGAAGGAGGGCTCGACCTGAGGGAAAGCCTAATCTCTGACGTCCAAGCGGGGATTCTAATTTTGCTGTTAGAAGGTTGTTTTGAGGCAGTTTGAACTTGATACCGACGGCGAGGAGCAATTGCTCTGAACGATTTGTTCAACATTGGAGGCAGAGGGCATGTCAATGGATTAACCTGAAGAGTCTACAGTCAGGTATGAAGGGAGGGAAGGAGCTCCTGGCTTACCCGTCGGCATAGAGCAGAGGGAGAGGGAGAAGACTGCTGCAGTGCTTACAGCGCAGCCGAGCCATTCGCTGTATCACGAAAAATAAGATGAATACTTTAATGCAAACAACAAAATGCTTGTCCAGACATTTACGACATTCAAGCGAAGCCTTGTACCTCGTACAGCCTAGTGAGGTGCGCAACTCCGCAGTGAGACTTGATCCGGCGCAACTTTGAAGGGGCTCTATCGATGACGAGCAGAGATGACGAGCCAGGGATCTCCCACTGACATTGCCGCAAGCATATGCCATTGTATGAGGAGTCGAATGTCGCTGCCGTCTCCAAGCGAAACGATGCACGGTTTTGACTGTTTAAGACGAGGCTTATTGATCCGGCGACCGGCCGAAGTCGGCAAATTGATCAAACGTGTGTCATCGAAGGGCGTTGCTCTTGTGGAACCGCGAGGTTAGTTGTCTCGTTCGGCCAAGAAGGGCGTTTCCTTCTGATATCCTGATTTATCTTTATATAGTTCGTCCTCGGGTGGATTTGATTTGGACTTGATTGGACTCTTTTGGGTTTCAGCTTTTTTGGGATTTGGGCTGCACATTCTGCTATCGAGCGATCTTCGAGGCAGCGTCGCGATATTTACTATTTAGCAGGCCACAGTGATACAGCTACGATGTCTGGTGGAGCATCGGTCCTAATGTCCGGCAAGGACGACGAACCCATCGTCCTATGCATGGAAGACATCAAAGCCATTGCAGACTCAAAGCTCCCAGAGGTAGCCAGAGGTAGGTTTGTGACCGACTTCCCATGCCTCCTCTCACCAATACACCCATCCCGGCTCATCCTCCATTCACCCGTCATTACCGTCACCGTCTAAAAGCTGAGCAAATCAAAGACTTCTACAACTCGGGTTCCACGTACCAAACGACCACTGCCGAGAACAGTTCCGCATTCTACAAGTACCGTCTCCGCTCCCGCGTCCTCGTCGACGTCTCCAGGTTGTCCACGCAAACGACATGTCTCGGCCGGACGATCAAATTCCCCTTGTGCATATCCCCGGCAGGTCTCCAGGCCATGGCTCACCCGGATGGAGAGGTCGCGACGGCTCGCGCATGTGCGAAAATCGGCGTCAACATGGCAATTTCGAGCTTCTCGAATTATCCGGTGGAAGAAGTCGTCGGGGCCTCTAATGGAGGCGTGAATTATGCGATGCAGATGTACACGATGAAAGACCGTTCGTTGCAAGAGCGCATCATCAAGTCGGCCGAAGCTGCGGGTTGTAAGGCTATCTTCCTCACGGCAGACTCACCCGTGCTGGGTGTGCGGTTCAATGAGTGGCGCAACGACTTCCGCACCCCGGAAGGGCTCGGGTTCCCCGTCCTGGAGTGGACAAGTGAGATGATCCGGAAGCAGACCCACGACAGCGGGTTCACGGCCTTCAACGACGACTCGCATAATTGGGCAAGGGAAATCCAGTGGCTGAGGGAGAGAACCAAGATGGAAATCTGGATTAAAGGCATCGTCACAGCAGAGGACACTGAGCTGGCGATCAAATATGGATGCGATGGCATCCTTGTGAGCAATCACGGCGGACGACAACTCGACGGTGTCCCCGCAACTATTGACGCGTTGGTGGAATGCGTGGATGCCGCCCAAGGACGCATCCCGATTCACATGGACGGCGGCGTAAGGAAAGGAACGGACATTTTCATCGCGCTCGCGCTCGGGGCCGAAATTGTCTGGGTGGGCAGACCCGCGATTTGGGCACTCGCATACGATGGCCAGAGAGGCGTCGAGAAGATGCTGGAGATGCTGTACGAAGATTTCCGACGGTGTATGGCGCTATGCGGGTGCAATAGCGTCGCCGAGATCAAACGGAGCTGTCTGAGCAGGATCGGATTAGACGGGGTGTTGCGACGCATAGAGTAGGCTCAGAAAGGCAAGTGGCAGAGCCGCCCTGCAGACAGCATAATGGGTTCGGAGACTAGAAACAGAAACAAATACAAATACGCGCACAGAGAACGACAGCAGCCTTCGATATTGCACAGCACCGCAAAGAAATACACGAACGTGCACCCACTTCCCCAAGGCTCTGCCCCCAGGGGTTGAAACTTCAGCCTCGTCTGCGGCGCGAGTTCACCAAGCGTCCTCCAACAAGCCAGGATGACCCATGTTGCCCATGCCACCATGCGACAGACCTGAAACACTCGACGCTTCACACCCCAGTAAGTGAAACCGTTCCCGGCCTTCAGATGGGGAAAATCTATTCAGTCTTTGCCCCCAAGCTAAATCCAAGAGAAGATAAGAGGGATCTGAATGTCGAATGCTGCAAATTGGCCCTCGAGAGGCATCTTGTTCATTAGATATTAAATTAACAGACTAAATATTTCGGTTGTGTGTCTCTAGGATTTCCAACTTCAACTGACGCTGGTCATCGACATGGAGCTTCTCCGTTCAACCTGGTCCCGGTGATCCATCGCCTTGTCGCTTCAATTGCGCAACATCTCATAACTCAATGAAAACTCTGTGCCCCACATGCAGAACCGCCCTGACTGTGATAAGAAAGTTATGCACGTCCGTTGGGGGACACCTTGACATGTAGCATCGTGGGGGCCTGGACCGCACATTGATGTGGCTGGGAGCAATGATGAGTCGAGCAGTGCTTGTTGACACAGATTGTATGGATGACCCTTGGATGGAAGAATGTCATGGGCCGTCGTGTTGTCACAATGGTTGGCCGAACCCTCATGTCCAGACTTCAACCCTGAACTTGACATTGACCTCACGCTCAAGTGATTTTGCGACAACCTTGTCTCTGTCCAGCTCCGTATCCTCAGACCTCACCCAATCCCTCCGTCCAGACAGGTCCTAGAAGCGAATACAAAATCCGATCCTTCCCTCTTTCTTTCCTTTCCCATATCCTGTGGGGAACCAAGCGAGTGCCATATCGATCGTAAGTCCCGGCATCCGTATTGTACAAGGGGTATGCAAAGCGAGTGTAACGTATCAATCCAGACGGTAAACGGTAGCCGCTGAATGACAAACAGATATGCTGCCAGCCGTGTGGCCCGAATTCTCCAGGGATAACGCCGGTGCAAAATCAAGATATGCTGCACTCCAGCTGAGGCTCCAAAACCACGCACCCTGATGGCAGACCGATTCTGCGGTGCAAAGCCGTCCAAGTCCGGCAAACCAACCATGTCTCAATCCAAAAAAAAAAAAAAAATAAGTTTTGTGCAAGTGATAATGCAATTTCATACTCAATCCCATACCTAGTCCAGCCTCACTAAAACAGTGTACAAGACAGAAACGACAGGTTCGGCGTGGTCCATGGATTGAAATTCTTGTCGAGAGAGTATGTTTGTAGTGGCGTCGTATTACAGTGGGATTGTGTTCTATGTGCAGAAATCCAAAAATTGAGCGCTCATATGCAAGGTTCTTGATCCGTAAGCGTGCTTGAGTCGTAACAAAAACGCCGGGCCAAAGGTGCTGCGGAGTTCAAACGAAACGTCGGAATTTTCATGTCGAACGGTTTGTTCGTATCATCTTTCGTAATTCGAATATGCGTCTGTCCAAAGCTTGGGGCTCTCCTCTGTCGGGCTCAACGAGCCGGAAGAAATCGAAGACGAAGAGCCGATGGTCCATTCGTCGCTATCAGGGCTGCTGCCATCAAGGCCTGCAATGCCATAGCTATAGTCGCTCTGGATCTCGCCAATCTCGACGTAATCGTAATCCCATCGGTATCTCTTATCAGGCTGCAGTCTCGGCAGGAACTTGGCCTTGGCGAAGTAAAAGATAACACCTGACATCAAGCTCCCAGCAACCAAATCCACGGCGTAATGGTGCGAAAGGTACATGGTTGACCACCACAGCCAAGCAGCGTAGAACGCCCACAGCGGGGTGAATGAGGGAAAGATGTGGCTCATGAACAGCGCCTCGAGAGTGGCCGTCGCAGCGTGAAGTGATGGAAAGGCCCCAAAAACCATCGGAGAGGCGGTGAATCCCGAAGTGTACAAATCGATCCCGAGAAAGGCGTCAATGCGAGCCAGACCGGCTGGTGAACCCTGCATAGAATAATTGGCCGGGGCTAGGCCATACATGTTCTCGTACCATGGGGCGGAGCAAGGGAAGAGGACCTGGATGATGACACCAGCGAGATTCAAGTAACCAAAGCTGAACCCAAAGACTGGGAGAGTCGTGGGTGGCCCGAAGACGAAAATGATGGCGGCAACCACGAACGGGCCACCAAAGTGACCTAGACCATACGGGAACCATGCTAACAGATCCAGGACCGTATTCTTGTGAGCAGAGAGAATATTGCTAAGATTGGCACCGTAAAGGATGTTTTCGAGTGCGGGGAGGACTTTGACCCAGATCGGGGGTCGCCATGCAGATGGGATGAATCTACGCGTGACAAATTAGCAAACATTAAGTTGAGTCTGTGCGCAGAACAAAGAGCGATCCCGTTATGAGAACTTACCTGCAGGCGTAGAAGAAAATGAGGTATGCGGCTATAGGCGTGAAAGGCCGGAAGAATTGTCGAGTGATGGGGAATATGAACGAGGCGAGGAGGAGTGTTGCGACCGCTGTCTTGACCAATGGTCCCGGATACTCAATGATGCTCAGCGAAAAAATGCCCACAACGGCCAGAAACAGCCATTGCCCGTCATAAATCGACCATCTGTGATTTTGTAGTGACCGTAGAGTGTCGGCAGGAGAAAACGAGGTCTTTAGGGAGGCGAGAGAAGAGGCCGGCGAAGATCGATTGCGGAGCTTGGATCTCAGCTTTCGCCGCAGCCTGTGAGGGACAAGGAGTTGTAGTGATTTCCATGGTATCTGGATCTGGATCTGTTTCCTCTCGGCGTCCTTCCAGGACGGAAGGGATGCCTGCATTGCACCTGTGTTCAGCCGCTGGGCGACCTCGTGCGCGGTACCAGGACCAACGTGTACGGCGTGGAAGGGCCTGCAGGCGATGGCGAGGGAGACAGATCAGGGAGACAGCGAGGACAAGAGGTGAGGAAGGTCGAGCAGAGGATCCGAGGAGGCCGGAAGAATGATGACCAGAAGGGGAAGATGAAAGATGATATGGAAGTCAGTGAAAGAGGTACGCGGGTTAAGGGCTTAGGTGAGCACGGAGCGGGATGGAGATGAGGTTGTGGATGTGTGCGGATCGACTGGATGCAAAAGCAATAGCAAATGGGCAGCAGACTAGGCACGCAACGGGGTTCGCGGTTCGCTGTTCCACAGAATGCCGTCTCCGACGTGCCTGTCTGTGCCCTGGTCGCTTGTTAAGGTAAGAGTTGGATGGTGGAATGGATACGATCAGGGCCGCCCAAAGAAAAGTCGTTCTATGCCCAAGACGTGCTGGTTCGCGAGCCTTCAGTGGCTTGTCGCCCTATCGCTCATCGGCTTTGTGAGAGGCTCTGGCGCGCTCTAGGCTGCTGCTTGGGCTACAAGGCGAAGTGCTAGGCATGCCCAGCTCCGCCGCGTCCGCCTACTGAGTACCAACTAGAGTTTGCCCCCTTTCGCGATCAATGGGGGCTTTGTGAGGAAATTGGGGCTTTTTCACTGCTGCCTCTCCCGACGTCACCACGACGGGCTGTCTGATGCAAACTTGCTTGTGAGAGCAGCAATGACGATAAGACTCGATCGGTTCAGTCCGCTGGCATTTCAGAGAAGTGACAAATGCCCTACGGATGACGGAGTACAGAGGTAAGTACACTCCCTAGGTGCGAGGACAAGTCCCTCGCACACTAGCCGTTTCCAATTTACTCAGTACAGGGCAAGCACGCGAACCCGAACACAAAGATGAGCATTGGAGCAATTGTGCATTAAGCATTGAGCAATCAAGCATTGGAGACCCAAGACACCCGGGGATAAGCGATGCACACCCGCGTGATTGCTGGTAATCTCCCCACTGCACCAACCACGCCCGCGATACATTCGCTGCGCGTGTCGGGTCATTGTCAGGCCACTCTACCCAGTGAGCAAAAACCTCCAATCAGCAGCCGTCAGACCATCGATCTTTTCGCGAGCTTACCTTCTCCTCTCCTTCGCAGCCTCTTCTGTCTCCTCCAATTTCCCATTTTCCCTTCCCGCGACGAAAGAGAGCACGTCTCCCAAATATCAATAAAGTTCCTCTCGGGGTGCTCCATCAGCCTGGTTTGATCGACGTGGTCAACCCTCACAACTCGGCGTTCAATTTGGACCCTACCTTGACACTATTACCTAGGCACTTACCGGTTGCGGCATGCACAGGAAAGAAATGCAGCTTCACAAAAGACTTGCCTTCCCGGCCAAAGCCGAGCCTGCAGTTGGGGCACGAGGGAGCGAAGGCTGAAAATAACGGCCAATCAAAGGGTGCTCTTGCGAGGTCATCTTGCATAAACAAGGCTTTCCTTTGCTCTTTGATAGGCTTGTTTGACGCCCGTCTTTTTTTGCTGAGGAATGCTTCGATTGCCACTGCCACCGAATGGGAAAGACCGTCAACTGCCGAGTAATTAATAAACTTGCACCTCGATTGGAGAACTCGGTACCCAAAGGATAGGTATGTACGGAGTACAAGTAGGGGCACTGACTATCGGCGCCCAGGCTGTTATCAGCAGTGGATAGTGAGAGTGGACTCATTTGGACAATGCTCCAGAATCGGATATCAGTCCGAGAATTATCAATCACTACAAAGAATGCTGTTGCGACGAGATGGTTACTGGGGGATAGACACAAGGCTTATTGCCAGTCTAAAGGCTTGTAAATAGAAATGCTAATATACGGTTCTGGTTTGTGGCCATCTGGGACACCTGTGTTACGATCAAATGCGCCGTGATCGCGCCGTGCTGTGGCTCTTCGTCTTCGTCCGTCGCCTTCTAATTTATTGTGTCCATCTCCTTAACTTAACTCACATCGTCTTCATACGTCTTTGACGTGATTCGTGTGGTCGATTTTCTATTGCCACCCCAAGCAACCGACTTGGGTGTGCCAATATCCCACGCCGACGTACGCCCGGGTCCCAGCGCCCTTGTTTAGAGGAAATAAATGGGCCACGCAGCCATTCATCCATATTTACATTTCTCATTGAACGTTCTCGGTGCATGCTGTTAGAAGCCATGAACCCACGGCTCCCTCTTGAAGGTATTTGGCCTTGAAACTCCTTTATGGCCTGCTTTGGGAAGAGCTGGTCCTCGACAGCGGAGCCTGCGCAGACGTTGTGCGGGAGAGGTTATTTTGACTTGAGCCATTTCGCGAGAGAGTAGGGACGGACTGCGCCGAGGATGACGAGCGCGCAAACCTTTTCATGGAGACGTCAGCATTGCTTGGAGTATTTTGTGCTTCTCTCTGGGCGAGATGTTGGAAATGAACAGTAACAAAGGACAAAGTTGCACATACGGGTTTCTCTTCTCCGGCCCAGGCGTCGCAGCTGGCGCCTTGTTTCCCTGTCCCCATCCCAGCAAGGGAGATTGATACGCTGGCCAATTGGAATTGTTCCATATCTTCGTTATCACACTGAAATGCGTCCCGAGTCAGTCCATGTGCCTTTGAATCTTGGGAGGGTACAATCCCAAACGCATCTGCTAGTGCCTACCTCTGTGCCGCGTCCTCCTGTTGCTCCCGTGTCACTTCCTTCACGCCGACTTTCATCCCATCACGACTGAATGAAACATTCTTCCTCTCAAGTTTCTGCCGGGTGTGGTGCCCGACATCGTGTGCAATCGTATAAGCCACGAATCCGACGGCCGCGAGAATGGCAACAAGGATGATCAGGATGAGGAGGGCTATGAGGTCTCCGGTTTTGGCCATTTGGGCGCAATGGGTGACACGCGTGACAGAGTTGTGGAAGCAAAGGTCCTCGTGTCGCTAGCGATGCGCTGAGTGATATACAAGTAGATATTTCTCCGAGGTTGGAGAATAGATTCGTTATGGGAATTCCGCGCAAATCTCGTCTGAAACGTGGTGGGAAGATGTTGGCTGATGTGCTACACAGAGACTTTGCACCACAATCCTTCGCGCGTCCTGGCCCCCTAGACTTTATATCATCTCCTTTTGTCGATCACCTGAATTTGAATCCTACTTATGCACAATGGGGGCGAATTTGATTGTAACCGTCCTTGGCGGGCGTGTACGAGGCAGGCGCGCCACAGCTGAATTGTGGTGCTTGTGGCTTCGATCGATAACCGCTACTCGATTGGAGAGGCAAGACTCCAGGGCGCGATACCTGAGTAGCAGTCCAATACTTGGTACTTGTGAGTAAGAAGGGCAAGCCACGTGCATATGGCATGTGATAAAGCCCCCTTGAGTGGATACGGCCTCGTATACCCAGTACACGTACATCGCTTGCGGTACTCCAGAGTATCAGAAATTCGGAATACCTGGTGCTGAGAACGAGCTAGCATTTTGGGACCGGTTCGGGAGGGGCTTTTGAAAGGGGAATGGAGCGGACCAGACATACTAGGTACCTAGTAATACACTACGGCAATCGCAGGATTAATCTCACCCAAGAAGTCTTACGGTTCTGACAGAAACAATACGACTCTACTGGGTATGTGGCATTCTACACTGGGGCTATTTTACCCATTACCATGGCATGGGCCCTTGGCCCCCTCGACCGTCCCCCATCTCCCCCCTCGCCACTCCTCCCAAAAGAGGGCGACACAGTCGGTGTTTGGCAAAAATACTCGTATCAATCCGAAACGCAGCGCCTTCGCTATGCAAACCAAAACGAGACCGTTTTTGTTTATGGACTGTACAGGTCCACCTCTATCATAAGGCTCATTCCTCGTTATAGATCTTCACCTTCTCACTGATCTCCCAGATCCTGCTCTCATAATTCTCCTCAATCTGATCGCCCTTTCCCCCCGCAACTCTTAGAATCAAATCATTCAAACTACTCCTTCCCAATATATCGACGTGATCACCTGTATTGGGGCCGCCGCGAGGACTGAATCGATCCGGCTCGTGGGGCATCTCAAAGGTTGTGATTTTGATGTTTGCAGGATTGTACCGTTTGATTTTCCGCCACCCCTTTGCGCACATGTACCCCGTGGAGAGGAGGTTGACTGTACCGTCGCCTTCGCCGAAGACGACTCCGTGGTCAACACTACCAACTTGTTGGAGACGGCCATTGGGAGATGTAACGCTGGTATCAATCGAGATATTTATATACCCATTTAGTGGCTGGCCATTTTCCTTGTAGAAGTATGAGCGCTCGGTGGGTTTGCCAATGCCGTAAAAGCAATAGATTTTCATATTAGGCGCGTGTGGGAGCCGCGACTCCAGCGGATTCATCCAGGTGAGGGGGTTGTTTTCATTCCGTTCGACTTCGGCCTTTGTATGGGCGACGCCGTGAGAGTATGAGTGCTTGACTTGCTCGGCATACCATGGCTCCGCGATCTCAAGGAGGTAGTCAAAAGCCTGTGCCATTGTGAGGTTCTGGCGGGTAACCTCTGTGACATTGCTGCGCGGCTTGAAGGAGATGAATGTTCCATGCGTTTTATTCTGGATTGGTGGCGTTAAATCGTCTGGGGCCCATGTCGCATTGCCCCATACTGCCTCACCGCCCTTGGGCAGCATCGACGAGATACCAGGCATGGCCCGGAATATTTCTGCGCGATCTTCCTTGGATAAGAACTTTTCTAGGCCGTAGACTGCAAACGCATTGAGTTGGGCGGTGTCTTTCATCTCGCCAGAGAGCAGGGCTGGGATATCCTTGGCTGTTCCAAGCATGCAGCCCGAGATATTGATCCATGAGTCAATATGCTTGTTCACCCACTGAGGGCCTCCTTTGCCATGATCCTTATGTTCTACCCACTTCATAAAGTAGAAAAGAACTTGACTGCCCATAGAGTGGGAGACAAGGACCACCTTCCTTCCAGATGTCATTTGCGCCACCTCGATATAGTTCTTCAGTCGTGTGAAGTATTGATCTCTGTGCTCTAGGTTGGCATAGGATAGACGCCAGTCATATGAGGCCGTGAATGCATTGGTCGGATCATAGCCGATGGTGGCGAGATTTTCTAGAATTTTGTTCCAAATCCAATACCCGGTGATGAAGAAATCTGTGGCATCGAACCCCTGAGCTGCGCGGAGCTTGATGTCCGGGGGGTCGAGGCCCGTCTCTTTGTCAAGCATGATATGCCTCTTCCAGGCCGCTTGATCCATCACCAGAGCTCTCATCATTGACCACGATCCCCACAGCCGCTTGCGAAAGTACTGTCTGGACTTCTCACTCGTTGACCAAGATTCCAGTCCGGTCGATATCACTCCCGGCACCATAATGACTGGATGATGGGCTGTCACCCCTTGAGACAGTAAATGTAGACCGACTGAGAACGAGTCATAATTCACGACGTCTCGTTCTGCTCTCGAGAGATCTTTGACATCATTGACTATGCCTGCAGGAATCACGTCCATCAGACTGTCTAGATTGACTTCCAGCAATCCTTCTAGTTTGATAACATCCTGTGACTGAGCAAACAGTAAGGCCAATAACAGGCCCAACAGACCACCTAGACCAAATGTGATGCCGGATCTCCTCTTGCTGTGTCTCCTTGTTTTGAGCTTTTCCAGCTTCTTACTCGAGACCAATTTTACCTCTTCGTTAGGATCTGGCGTACTATCGCGACTGGGCTCGGGGGAGGAAGAAGGCGAATCGCGAATGATGTTAGCGACGCGGCGACGAAGGGCAGACATCTTTGGAGGTACGGCTCCTCGAGCAAGCAGCAGGCTTGCAGGGGAGCACGAGAAAGATATTCGTCCAAGCTACGGGTTGTTCGGGGCATGGAGTAAGAATTGCTGAGTGTACTCCATACAATTAAATCATCCCGGCCTCGCGCTTTCACATGTTTCGTCATCGCTTCTTCTTTGGCCGGGATCTTCAGGCACAAATCTTCCCCAAACGATGTTCCTTTCTCAATTCATTCCCAACATGGCATTTTTGACGTCTCCCTAGGAGCTACAATACCATGAGCAGCAATGCCGCTGCTGCCTCCGAGTCGCAAACCGGCAGTGAAGACAACTCAGTTACAGCCAGTGCGCATTTCCAAACCACTCCACCCGGCATCCGCTACTTGCAATACTCGCTTGAAAAGGAGGTCGAATACCTTCCCCAAATTCGCGAATTGATCTCCAAAGACCTCTCCGAACCTTACAGCATATATGTCTACCGATATTTTCTCTATCAATGGCCCGAACTCTGTTTCATGGCCGTGGACGCCTTGGAAGACAACAAACTCGCCGGCGTGGTAATATGTAAACTGGAACCGCATCGAAGAGGACCGCTGAGGGGATATATTGCCATGCTAGCCACGAAGGACAAGTTCCGGGGCAAGGGCATCGCCACGACTCTTGTCAGCAAAGCGATCGATTCGATGATTGAGAAGGATGCGGACGAGATTGCGTTGGAAACCGAAGAGACGAATACCGCGGCCATGAAGCTGTACGAGCGACTAGGGTTTCTAAGAAGCAAGAAGCTGCACAGGTACTACATGAACGGGAACAGCGCGTATCGATTGCTGCTATACCTGAAAGAGGGAGTGGGCAGCATTGCAACAGAGGGCGAGTACAATGGCTCTGGTCTGGATGTGCAAGACGAGATGAGATATCCGCATCGCTATCAAGAATCTGCACAAGATGTATTCAGTCGTGGAATCGTTTGAATCATTTAGAGACAAGAGCCTATCCACTCCTCCCACCTTCTTACTCCTTTGCCCGCTTCTTCGCCTTTGACTGCTCCCCCTAGCACATCTATTTTAATACCATACTCTTCTGCCATCAACTCGAAGCTGAATTTGCCTTCGCCGCCGCAGCCTAAGATGTCTTCTTCGGGATTGACGTCGCTGTCTTGACCTACAGTGCCCAGTCCCTTGCTCCTCGACACGCGCACTCTTTCAATATCAGCTTGTAGGCGCTCCTTGACTGCACCTGTTGGCAAAGCGGTGAACAGGTCCTGCTTGTTCGCCGCGATAAGGACAGGTATCTCGGTCTTGGCCTTGCCACGAGTTTTTCGTCTCTGCAAGGATAGCAGTGTATCATGAAGATAAACAGCGGTGTCGCGAGAGATGGACGAGTCGCCGGCGTCCAGCACACTGGAGTCAACTACGAATATGACCCCGCGGAGGGCAGGGTTCTGAAGTTGTGACAGCGCTTGATCCGACCTCAATTTCCCATGGCCGGGGGTATCGATCATTACGTATGGAGTTGGTTGCTTGTCATTCAGGGTGACATCGTTATCGGAACGGTACTTATTGGACCCTAGGGGGATCGAGGGCGGAAGTAGTAAGCTGATGGGGGAGGAGACCTGAGAAATGCGGGTGAGGGCAGCCTCTGTCCGGGGGTCTTCTAGATTGGCGGATCGCCTTTGTAGCTAGAGATACTCTTAGCGAACTGAAATGATAAAAGACAGGCCGAGAAAATCTCACTAGAGAGACGAGGGAGGTCTTGCCTGCACCGCTAGGGCCAACAAGAAGGAAAGTCGGAACGACTTTGGCACGGGCAGTACGGGTGTAGAGGTAGAGGTGGACAAGTAGTGGGAGGGTTATCGCGACCAAGAATGCGATGAAGATGGCAACGGGGTCGCCAGACAAGAGCCTGGTAGCCCAGCTATCGGGAGAGGACCAGCCCATAGTAAACAAGAGCCGCATGAACCAAGGATTCTACAAGACGGCGCAGTCGAGGGAGAGCGTCGAAACATGACGCACATAAAGAGGCTGAGAATTGAGAATTACCACTGGCTGATCGGTGGGGAGGGCTAGTCTCGTGCCTTGCATGAGGCCTTCTGCTATGATTTGCGGTCTGGGCTGGGG